CTGCGGTTTCTGGTGCATCTGGTAAGACCTCTTCTGCTCTTGGTTAGTCGGTCACACCTGCCAAGCTACAGAGCGCAGTGCCGAGCTCTCCTGATGCAACACAAACAGCTGACAAATATTTTTCAAAACTGTTAGAAAATGCAAAAAAAAAGGGAAAGACTTTTTTTTAAAACCTTTGGTGGCTGTGAAAAGGCTCTTAGAGCTGGGCATAACTGGATGAGTTTTGCTTCGATGGGGACCGGGAAGGGCTGGAGGAAGTCGGGATCTTGGAGCCAACACTCCGCTGGCCAAGACATCTCAGGCGAACTAACTTCTTTCCTCATTGCCCAAGCGTGGCCTCTGCCTGACAGATCTTCGATCGCCTCACTGTCTGCTCATCCAGCCCATACATCAGCAGCTTCTCCGTGAGGATCTTATGGGAGACAGTGTCAAAGGCCTTACTGAAGTCCAGGTAGAAAATACCCACTCTTCTCTCCCCCATCTGCCAGGCCACTCACTGAATCCATGGTTTGGTTATTATTTTTTTCAGTCCCTGTTCTTGTTTTCTCGGTAGAATGAATTTCTATTTTCTTCTTTTTGAAAAATTTTCTTGGCTCAGAAGTAGGAATTCAATCCACAGTATGTAGCAATACACACCACAGCAACAGAAATATTATCTCATACATAGGAATATTTATTTTTTTCCTTCTTAAAAATGTACAAAAAATAAAATAACTGTATTTACAGTTTATCAAACCCCTCTCCCAGTTGCAACACTATTAAGTTACATGAGCTATTTTCTTAATATAAAAGCACACTATTTATACATAAAGTTTCCTTGTTTGCCAGAAAGAGGGCTTGTCACAAACTTTGGCACAAACATTCTTGTTTGTATCTTGTCTCAATTCACAGGAAATGGAAGAGCATATAAACATTTCAAAAGCTTTACATTTTAAAAGTTATAAGATAGTCCTTTCCAGTTCCATATCGATCAATATACAGCATCTCTGACAGCTGGAGAGTTTAATTTTTACTAATTGTTTGAATTAATTTACAACATTTAAACAATCCATAGACTGAAAGAGGAAAATATACAAGACAGACACGTGATCTCTGAATTCCTAAAAACTTCATGAGAGAGGACACACAGGAAAAAACAGTTATTTTCTTTGTAGTTTACATTCAGTGGTAAAAATTCTCCAAAATGTCTTGATGGGGATATCATCATACATCAACAAAGCTTTACTGCAAGGATGCACTTCATTTTGGGGATATCAGCACCTGACTGTGCAGAAAGAAACTAAAATTTCAGATTTGGGGGTTTCATAATAAAACATCAAATGGACGGACATAGTGCCAAATCTGTAGCGGGAACCAAAATTAGAGCTTAGACTATTCTCCTTTTGCACATCTCTATTAGAGTCTTTTGAAACACAACATCTACAGACATTGCACTGCTCTAATTCTTCATAGGGAAAATGAGTTGAGCAGCAAGCCACCCTTCAGGCCGCACTAGTTAAGATTCAAGACTGCTGTCTTGAAGAAGGAAAGGAAATGAGAGTTTTGTTCCTTTAAATAAACAACTACAGCAGTGAAACAAAGAGAAAAAAGGAGGCAAGGCAGATATTCTCGTCCCCTGCTGAAAAAACGGCTGAACAGTAGCCAAATCTTACTTCCATTTAACTCATAATATTTGGAAGATCCAGCATTAATCAATATTTTTCATTAAAGAAAAGCAGCATGCATATTTTAAACAATATACATGCGAGCACTTTGTACTCCTCAAGCAGGGCATAAGGCAGGCCACTGCTTCAGAAGTTTGCATTACTTGTACTGGCCCTTCCCCATCACTTTGACAGCCTGTTTTTGACCAACAAGGTGAACCCTGAGAGCTTCTAGCTTGCCATGACCAGCATCCAAGGTTCAGTGCTCCTCCAGCAGCCGATGCTGTAACTACAACTGAAGGGGTGCAGGGCGATACGCTCTTTGTAATGTCTTAGGTGCTTGCAATGCACCTGGAGCAGCGAAACAAAGCCCGCAAACCTCTGGCAGATAAAGTTACAGGAGATTATCTTTAACTAGCTCTAGCTGTTGTTTTAAAATAATCTTACCATCAGGGTAAATCCTACTCATCTTCCTCAACCCTGCTACCTTGACTGAGACTGTAAGAAGGAACTAAAGGCAGGAGTATCAGCTGTCTTGTATCAGGAATTCACACGCTTTAAGATGTATTTAGAAAAGCTTTCAGTTAATCTTGGAAGCGACTTTCCTTCCCTGGACAGTGCCTGACCGAAAGCTCCTAAAATGGCAATGGAAAGATAGCTCCTTAAGCCCCAGTATTTCCTGGAGCACTGCACTTCTCACGGATCCTACACTGCTCCTCAGTGCAGGATGCTGCAGCATCCCAGATCCCAGCTCATCTCCACCCACGTGTAAGACAAGAAAGTCCCATTAACCTGAGTGGTGGTGCTGCCAGGACAGCCCCGTCTGTCTCTGTGAACCCCAAATTCTCACTGTCCTCTCTTAACGCAGCACATCCCAACCCAGGCCAGCCCCAGGCACCACAGCCGTTCCCTGTAAGAGAGCTTGGACGGCAGGTTTGTTGGGGGCAGAACCAGGGCTCAACTCCTGCATACGTTTACTCCTATGTTTTACCTGCAGCTTCTGCCCAGACATCGTGACCAAAAGATCCCAGCTAATATCCTTAAGATCCCAAACACCATCAAACAACAGAGAAATACAAGAACTAACACCACTGCTCACCAGTCCTGTGTGCTGGTCCCAGTTCCTAATGCCACCTGCCAAAACTGTCCTCTTTTCTTCTTTAGGAAAAAAGTATCTGGGCTAAGTCAGCATAGACATTTTTCTGAGCCTGAACCAGGCAGAAACAAACTGAACCACCATAAACCTCTTGTACTCCCACGATGTCTGCTCTTGAGCAGGGTAGCAGCAGCATCTTTGCTGGAGTACATATTTATAAAAAGATAACAGAATTACTACAAAACTCTGCATCAGAATGAGAAAAAGCGCATGAGAAAGGGGAAGGGAGGGAGGGAGAACAGACGCTTTGCAGACATATGTGGATTCTGGGTACGTTAGCCCTGACGCTAATCAGCCTGAACCTTTTATAGGTTCTGGTCCCACAGAAACTTTGAGAGGTACCTAACATTTCTATTTGAAATACAGATTTTAATGCGATGCTATTGCTAATGAAGTTAAGAAAATGTGCAAGAGCTTGCAGGACAGTTCATGCAAAAACATGACAAAATCAGACTGGTCAGCTATCCCAGCTACTTTGCTTGAATGTAAATAGCTCCACACAGCTCAAAACAGAGCCCTGTTAAATTAGGCAGTGTTTCTTTATGCCATTAACCACCTAATAAAAACAGATTCTGTGACTCAATGACAAAAAGACTTTAGAAAGAAAAAAAAGTAAAGAAACTCTAAAGGCTACATGTAGGAAAGGACCCGCATTTCTGTCTGTCACATGGGATCCACATACAGTGCATAGAGAATAAAATGTTTGCAGTTGAAACTTGCAGGAAAAGAGGGAGAGAGGTGCTGGGTTTGGATGCGCTAGGGACATTCAGGCCTTGAACCCCTTTCCTGGTTTGATTTTAGCCTGCAGCTTCTCTCTCTTCACAGAATTCATGAGACAGGGTTGGAATTTGACGGGATAATCTTTGTAGTTCAACTTGGGTTCCGATCCAGCCCTTGCGAGAGAGACCTATCTCCACACCTCAGTTGTGGGATACTCAGTCTCCACTGGTAAAATTGTTCCAGTTTTGATAAAATATTTACATCAAGCCCAGGTTTATACCCCACCCAACTGTCCTAGGAATCAAAACAGAATCATTCAATGGAGATACAAAAGCTAGTACCCTTAAGAAGAAGAGTTTGAAGTCCTGTTTCTTACAGTCTAGAGGAATGCTTTAATGAGCAGGCTGCTGCGGAAAGCACCTTTCCCTCCACAGGCTTGAGAAAAGCCCACTTTGAGAGCCTCCACTTCATCAACAGAACAGGCAGAAGTCCCTTCTGTACCTCTAGGCACACCAGGCAGCAGACACATGGTGCATCTTGGATTTGGTGACAGCTGCATGGGACACTCGGGTACCTACAGCTGGAACTTGGGCACCTAAGGTGGGTCCCACTGTGCCAGAGCACTCCAGACCCTGTAGCACGGGTTGCTCCAGTATTTCAGTATAAAACTGGGCGGGCAAGGGTGGAGCACAGAAGTGCAGATGCAGTTATCAGCTTCTCAGTACGCATTCCTTAACAGATGGCAGCAATCTAATCCTCTAGGAAAGATTCTGTTAAACCCTAAACCCAATACATACAAAAACAGAGTGGCAGTAAACATGCCCACATACAGTAGTTAAAATATATTATTGCATATTATAAACATTATATACAAGGTTAAAATGGTTTCTTTACCATTTACTTACAAGTGACATTTGTAGCTGAATGCCTTACTTACAAGTCCTCATTGCTACGAGCTGAGAACTACCAGAGGTATTTGGCAAGACTATACACTATAGAGAGATACGGATCAGTCTGAGCAAGTGAACTGTCAGCCACTTTCCCCATCTTTAGCACTGCACTGTTTTTTTAGCAATGACAGAGAGAACTACTGGTAAAGTGATTTACACCAGATTTCTGAAACTAGACCAGCATTGTTCCTTAACATGTTTTAGAATGAGCTTATCCACAGTAAAGCATGGATTAAAATGCTGCATTTCACATTTGCAGTGGGTCATCTGGTTACAAATCTGGGGGCTGGTAACTGCTTGTACACTAGAGAGTGGGGAACAATAAATAAGGGACCAGGTTAATATGAGTGGCCTTGTGCTTGGCAAACCCAAGTCTATATGCAGTGGGTGCACATGTGCAGAATGGACAGTATTTTCAAAGCAGTCTTGTAACAGTTTCTCTGATCAATGTCTGTCAAGTTCCCGGGGAATCTTCTGCTTTCCAAGAAGGATGAAATGCTGTGGTTCCTTACAAAAAGGCTCTGCCTGAGGCTAGATCTCTGTCAGTGTGATCTTGAAGCCTTCAACCATGCTCTCCATGTGCAGGATGAACGTGTCCTCATTGGAGTAGTGCTCAATAATGTTGTCATCCATGTTTACCAAGATACTGGTGACAAAGGCAAAAATCAGTATTTTTATGTATCAGGACACCAAGAGGGAAAGCCATGCACTCCACCACATGTGCTCGCTTCACTACAATGCCAAAGCAGACTCCAGGGACAACAGTGGGAATCATCATCAAGACCTGCCTCATAGCCCCTTATCGTCTTTGGATTAGAGGCTGCTCCTTGCCAAAGTAAAGGTAAGAGGCATGCCAGTGCTGGGATGTTAACTCCCTTAAGCTGCCTACAAGGCAAGCTGCATTCCAGATCCCCAGCAGACCCAGCTAGCTGGTGTGGGCTCCCCCAGGTACACCTCCCTGCTACTCCTCAGCCACACTGTGAGCTGCTGCACCTCTGTGGTGTGAGTTGCTAACACGGGGAAGCAGTGTAGTTTGTGCTCTGCACACAGCTCACAGGCCTAGAACTCAGCTTGGATGTGAGAATATCAACTATTAGAAGTGTATACCAGTGTTTTCCTAACTCTTTACCATAAAGTGTTTCTTCCAACAAACATATCACTTGGAAACAGTGTTAGAAATAAAGCAAAACATGGGAACTTTCACCTGTCTTCTCAAAAGCTAAAGAAATCCCCAGACAAAACAATGCCCTAAACTAGAGTTACAGCTGAAAATAAATGATTGATTTAAAGTTATATCAGTACAATACTGTGGTTATTTAGAAGTCAAAAAAGTTCAAGTGGAGAGATTTAGATTTACGGCAAGGCGTCGTAGCCTAGCTATTCTAAAACCACAGCTGTGATGCTCTAAATTTACTCAGCTGAAACCCCAGCAGCAACCACTGCCTGCCTGCCTTTCAGATTCACACAGTGGCCACCTTCTTCCTCTCACTGCAGGGAAACTCCACACTGCATTCACAGCAAAGGCTACACCTCTCCCACGCTAGCACTCCACAATGTTATTAAGCATATAGTCTACAAAACGGACTTTATCCAAATATGTTTTCCAAACACTAATCCTGTTTTTTCACAGTAAACCTATGAATACTGGTCAGACACCAACTGGAGACTCGTGTTTCCTCCTCTGCCACCCCTTGCTGTCTCCATAGACATTAAGATTTCAAGCGTATGGGCATATCTCCTAAAAGTGTTTATACTGCCCAGGACCATGAGGCCCCAAGGGATCTCTGAGTGCTTCTAAAGGATCCTGCAATAGCCCCTAGTTAGTTAGTTACTTACCCCTTTTTGCTCTTCTTATAAAGTTTTGCAATCTTTTCAACTGGCAGCCCATATTTCTCAGAGATCTGAAGTCACAATAAATAAAAGAAATAGCATTAAAGACTAATGAGAAATATGAAATTATCACCTCTCATTTTACCCAAGGCAGTAAAACACTATCTCTGCAAACTTTGACAGCATAGCTCTACAGAAAAGTCAGTCGCAACCATACCATACCTTCATTTAAGGATGATTCGGGAAGGAATAATCCTAAACATCTTGATTAAAAAAACACAATTGTTTCCATCCAGAAACTGGGAAACTATCGTTTTCATAGGGTGTGAGTCATCAAAACTGCCTCAGCATCTCCTACTGCTCTGCTCAAGGAGCCAACACTCTTCCCAGCTTTAGATTTTACCAGGGAATTTCAATCTGATCAGCCGCCTTTCTGCCGTTTCTTATTCTGATTTTCTGGGCTCATGGAAGCAAAGGCTTCTTCCACCAGGCAAAAGGCAGATGAGTAGCAACACATCAGGAGCTGATGGATTCATGGATCAACAAAAGACAATGTGCATACTTCTATTTATCAATGGCATTTCAAGGTTAGTTAAGTTAACGGGACCCTCCACGGGTCTTTTGTCTAAAAAGTATGTTCAAGGAACCTTTTATTGTGGGAGGGCTACAAATGTGCTACACACAGGACTAGGAAGCTTTTGTATTGTTGAGGAGGTGACTCACTCTAGTTACTAGGGCGGAAAAATAAGAACACTATTTGGCTCACAAAACATCCTCTGAGTGCACAGATAACAAGGTGAGATGCCGCAGAGAAGTGTGTTAACAAGGTATAGGACTTCTAAAATAAACCTCTTGCCAGCTGCTCAAATGCTAAAGCAGAAAATGCAGGAAAACTTTTGAAGGAAGAACTACTTAAGCTGACAAATTACCAACACTAACAAGCACTTCACTGGGATGCTTTGGCATTGCTTTGCAGCAGTGTATTAGTAGCTTTTTGGACGGCCATTCTGCAGTGAGTCTGTGGTGTGCCCGTGGAGACAGTGTCCCTGAGCCCTCTGTCTGAGCCAGGTTTCCTTTCCAAATTATGACTCTTTGTTGATGGAGCAGGTCCCACAGCTCATACTTTAGAAGAGGATTGTCCCAAAAGGCAAAACAATTATGGAAAAAGGACTTTTTGTCAGTGATTAATGTTCTGTGGTAGTCTACTGCCAACCAAAGTTAGTTTCCTGCTCTTCCCAGGTGAAATGAAGTTGCAGCTAAACAGCTGACTATTTATCTTCTGCATCAGAGAACTGAAAGGCACAATTAAAAATCCATTTAAAGACTGCCAAACATCAGTCACTGTAAAATCTTTTCTTTGTGTTTGCATTCAGACTCCCATTGAGAAAAAGTGATATTTTAGAGAAGTAAATTAAAGCAATTATCATGAAATAGAAAATTGAAAGAAAGCAATGTATAAACTCAGCGCCAAGGACAGATTCAAACAACCACATGTCGAACCCCAAGCACAGCTCCCGTCCAGAGAGACAGGTTTCTCTAAGAGAGAGAATTAATTAGCTTATACTTGCCTACATGACCTATAGTTGAATAATTTTCATCTTAGCTAAGATACAATTTTGTACGTAAAAAGTATAGCATAACTCCAGGATTTTGAAGAACCAATAAAACTTCTACGCTGCAGTTTCCTCTGACCACAGTGTACATCTGCGGCTAACAGAAAGGAGAGGATGTAATAAGGAGTAACTGATAAGGTACACCAGACTCATCCATTCCCTAAAAGTTTTGCACCTAGCAGAAAACAAAATACAAATTAAATTGTGGTTGTATTTGCTACTTCAGTTTTACTTGCACCAGCGTGTTTCACTGCCTTTTTGGATATGGTGCTGAAGATACCGATGGCAGTCGTGGTTCGATGTTCTCACCTGCCTTGGGAGAGGCCCAAGTCAGCATCACGGCTGAGCAAGCTTATACGCTATACAGTCACACTCTCCCTGCTGGGGGGACCAGTCCAATTGGTACATTTATGAGAAGAGGGACTTCACCCCACTTGTCATATCTCACACAAGCATCCTCACAATCGGACTATAAAACCAATCGTTTTCACTCTGAGCTCTATGTAGCCTATGAAAAAGGCTCTGCGTAGCCTACGCAAAAGGCTCTGTGTAGCCTACAGAAAAGCTATGTAACCACATGCACAGTGTGGAAATGCATCCTACAAAGAAGTTCCATAATGTCCTCATCTTATCTGGAGCAAGCTCAAGTCTTTGCTCCAAACAGGGCAGAACAAGGGCGACTCGAACCCAGGGTTTGCCATATTCTTGTGGGGGATGTCCTAACCTATTCCAGCTTCTTTCCACCACAGATGGGACAGGCAGACCCACCTAGCCTTCATGAACACCTGACCCAGCCTGCACACATAAATCCAAATCCATGGCCAGGATCCCCAGTAGGAGGAATCACCTACCTCTGGCACATGTGTAGGTACCCACACCTTGCTCCTCACTCACATCCTACCCCTGTCTACCACCATCTTTCCAAGTCTCCCTTCCTTCAATGCCTCATCCTGTGCCACCCACGGAGGGCAGCTGCCTGACCTGTGGCTGGTGACTCCTCTGGGGTACCCAGGTGCTACACTGTGAGGGCAAATCTTGACTGCCTTAGAGAAGTTCCCAGAGAAACTTTCATGTTCTCCTTTTATTCTGTTTTACCCTCTAGCTTTGCTTACAATGAATAGAAAGATGTCAGATAACCAATCTGGTGCTGAACTTTTGTATCTGTGGTTTTGTTGTACCCCTAAATGTAAGTTTTCATGTAATGCAATAATAAAAATGGCTCCATTTCACCAGATTGTTGAAAAAATCCTTCGTAACGGGCATCAGAGAAAAACTGCAACCTGAAAGTGCAGAAAATGTCACAACTGTACAAACATGAGGAAACAACTCTCTGGGTTGTTAACTCTGAAGCCTAGCGATATTGTAAAGATCAGTACTCGAAGACACTTTTCACTGACTCCATGCAAATAAACATGCAGGCACAAACATTCCTGTGCCATGGGGGGTTAATAGCAGCTAATATACAGCATTCTGTACATTCCAGCATAAAACTGCTCTAGGATATTTGGGATACCTAACACTCATGCATTCCAAATGTTGCTCAAAGTGGTTTGGGACTCTGGGACACCACTTCCTACACAAGCTCGGAGAGGTAGGGCTGAGAAAGCCTTGCCTGTCACACCGCCTATGACAGGTGTGGGATTTATATAACATGCAGGGATTAGTGAGCTTTGCGAAAGACTTCCAGCTGACTGAATAAGCACATTTCTCAGGAACCCCTAAGGATTCAACCAATTATACCAAACGGCGAGCTGTGGAAGCAAGGCTCGAAGTAGGGATATGGGAAAGCCTCCCCCTCACAGGCTCCAAAAACAACTCTCCAGTGCAAATGCGCTAATTCATGATGCAGAATCTGAGAAAGCAGAGAGCTAGCATCTGCTAGGGCATCTCACTTAACACCCTCTTCTGAAACACGTTTGTTGCCAACTCAGGGGGAACACCACTACTGCCAACTTCCATATAAAACAACAGCGTTTCTCACCTGACCCCAAGCAGGCTACAAAAAATTGTAAAAGATATCTTCATTTGGAGGAATATTTTCCTTTATCATCTCCATTGCCCATTTTTCAATCTTGTGAAGAGAGAATTCTTTCCTTCCCTTAGGATGCCTAGAGCAGTGGGACAGCCTTCTGAGTGGCACTAAAATAAATGTCTGGGTGTTCCTTTGAGCTGCAGTCCCCTGGTCTGGCAAGTTTGTCTGTAGCACACATCTGACAGCACAAGGCACCAGAAATGCTTTCTCTGCTGGAGTCAGGAAAACAGAAAGGGCGACATCTGGGCTGGTTGAGGCATGTAGGAAAATATCCTTGCCAACTTATTTCTGTGGAATGGTCCAGTTTGTAGCCCTACATTGGTTGGAAGGACACATACATAGGCAGGTATCTAAGCAAACTCTACTGAGCTCAGCTGTTAGCTTTTAATTTTAGAAAGACTTTGGGAGATATTTAAACTTCCCAATTCAGATCGCCTTCTGTAATTTGAATAAATATGTGATTCTGCACAATGTAAGACTGAGATCCACAGAGTTAACCTGACTTTGGATCAGGCTAAGCAGGATTCAGAACTGGTCAGTCACCACGTACGCATGATGTTTTATGGTGGGCAATTGTTTCACTATCAAGACTGACTAGGGTAGGATGCAAACATCTTAAAAACCAAACATTTGCATCACTTTCTGAGATATACTGTATCTCCGAAATCTGAGACCTCTACATATTTGTCAGAAGAACGAAATCTGAGAAGGAACCTGATTGTTCATTTGGAATGGGGGTATACATGAGAATAAAATAAACATATTATCTGAGAAAACAGTACCATTAATCCTGGAAAATTAGGAGAAAACCATAGACTAGGAATAGTGATTAACAACAACAAAAAAAGTAAAATCCATAAACAGAGAAGGCAGGTATGATTCAGGATCATTGCTGCTGTCTTTCAGATCTGGGGTTCTATAATATTCAGAGCCTCAGTTTCTAAGTTCTTAGCACCAAGCTTAGAATTAAGGATTTAGGATGTGCACAATTACAAAATTACATGATTTGCTGAAACGACTGTAGAGAGAGTATTTAAGAATATGCAGTTTGACAGCTTTTTGGCACTAATTTATCCACAATATCCTACCAAAGAGAATTAACATTTTTTGAATGTGTTCCTTCCAGTGAACTGGGACATTTTACAACAGATCAGATTTCTCTGGTGCCAAAAACATGCCACTGAGTCAGCAGCTGTGCTGACAGAGGTATGCAGAAACCTTTCCTGCTTCTGCACCAGCTTTGTTTTTATGTTACACAATGGCTGGAGAACAGGCATGGAGAGGCACAGACTACTTGAGGTAAAATATTCATGAAGGGTTATAACATACTTTAAACTTCCATACAAAGACAAGATGAAATCGTGTTACAGCTTATCATGAATCAGACTGCAGCCTCTTCAAATGAAGCCTGGCTTTTATTATACATGTGTGTTCTGCCTAACAACTGAGTTGCACTCACAGCTAACAAACAGTATCAGCAAAAGCACAGTTAGGAACATCCTTAGAATGCAGCTGACTCTCCTCGGAGATACCATGATCTGAATAGGTGCTTTAAACAATTTCACTAACCCACAAATCTTTTTGCCTTCTGCTGCTGGCCAAATATTGACCAAATAATTCTATCTTTACTGCATTTGAAGTGTTCGGTACATGCAACAAGACACCGTGACAGTTTTATGAGAGTATGAATATACAAACTTTAGCACTCAGCTGAGCTCTCTAGGGACACTTTCATCCATTCCCATTTTCTCCCCTACATGTAACCAAGACTGGAAATCAACTCAGCATCCCACATGTCAGTCTCACATTAGTCCCCCCACCGAAGCACTGAGACACGTGGTTGCTTTTTAACTCTTCCCTCACCAAATTTCGTATCTACTAGCCATCGTCTCATATAAACAGGATTAAATGTGTAAATAGCCACTCATGATCACGGCTGATGGGTATCAAGCAAAAGTTCAAATCAAAGAAGCAGCAGAGAGGCAGGCTGGTAGGTAGGTCACTCTGTGAGTGAGGGCTAGAGAAGAAATTTGAAACAGAAGGTATGAATGACAGCATTGGCTCAGCAACTGCCTCTTATATGCTGGAACAGCAATTGCACAAAAGCCATATGAAATTCACATGGAAACAGTGCATCCTTGGGCCTCCTCTTTAAAAGATGGCTGTGAACGCACCAATGGGCATTATAGAAGATGCAACATGCTCTGAATCATCAGTTCAGAAAGAAGCATTTCAGAAAATTGAGCCTGCACCTCTCTGCTTCCCTGACACTGGTTAATTACCACCATTCCTCAAGGCCTAGGTCTCCAAGAAATCAGCTTTGCAACACTATTTAATCCCAGCAACCCGCTGACAGCACAGGATTCGGAACACACCAGCACTTCAGATGCACGCTCCAGAAAGCCTTTATGAAATGCTTTAAATGTAGTTGAGAATAACTTCATCTTTATATTATGTTTTATCTCAATAATACACTGAAAGCCTTAAGATTTTCTTGCCAAGACAGACAAACAATGTGAGGACATCGGATACTTACCGCTTCCATTAGCCCCTTTACTGTGGGTGATTTCAGCATCAAAGCATCAAACACCTCATCTGTCTCCTTCCTCACATACAAAAGCACTGAAACAGAAAAAAAGTCAAACTTGGAGCAGGTTCAGTCAATTGAACAGATGAAACACCCCACACTGAGTAGAAAAACAAATATTAATCCATGACAGATAAAATGAAGTGCTGAAGATAGTTTGAACTTTTAAAAAAATGTACTCTTACATCATCAGTGATCTAAACATGGAAGACATCATAGCTGCTTTCAAAACAGGCAAAGAAAATTCAGCAAATTTAATTTGATGTGAGGAATCTATATCTTCAAGAATTTAAACCTCCATCTACTGAAATACAAGAAGCTAAAAACCAGTAAGGGCCTGTCCCTGGGTCATAGGACAAAACACGCAAGCTAGGTCTTCCTAAACCTGTGTCGGCTTGCACCTCTCCAGGCTTCATCCACAAGGCTGGGAAAGGAGATTCAGAAAAGGCAAGTCTGGTTTGTCTTTAATTGAACCTTTGAGAGCAATATCCATGGAACGGAAAAGAAATAGTTCTCTCTGACATTATCATGTGGATGACTGCAAATGGGCCTGGTCAGTCTGAAAACAAACACTGGAAAGAACGAGTCCAAAGTCATATGAGACTTTACATGGGAGACATTCACACACACAGCTGGCTGGCAGGCATTTACCTCTGTGCCCTGCCCTGCTCAGGTACCCAAACGCCATTTGCACCCCTGAAAATCTCCTCTTCCTCCCTCAGATAACCTGCTGGGTCTCAGTGGTTCGCAGGCGCAGTGTCCTGCCCTCTCCACCTCCTGTTCTCCCCTCTCTGACTCACACAGGTCAAAGGAGGAAACTTGCTGTTACATGGCAAAAGCAAAGCAGAGGGCTAGAAAGCAAATACACATAAACACCAGAGAAATGTTTTAGGTGTAATCTCACATGACTCTGATAAAGTAGCAGGTTAATAAGGTGTTCCGCAATTCGTTTTTTTCCCTAAATAAACTGCCTTTTCGAACAGCAGTGCTGCACAACAGGTGCAAATACACATGCACTGTCAGGTATTTTATGTCTGTGTGATAAACTACATTGGTAATAATATTTTTTTTTTTGGTAGATAGAAAAAGGTATCTTTTGAAACTGCTAATCCTTGTGGTCCAAAAGATATCTTCACCAGGTAACTCAATAGATGACTTGCGGATGAACCAACAGATGATGGTATTTTTCATACAGAAGCAATTGTTCAGAAGCTAATTCTCAGGTCAAGACTGTAGCAGGGTGGACCCAGGCCCATGTGCAGAGAATTGTAGCTTCAGGTTTGGACATAACTGAAAAAAGATTTGAAAAATGGGCAGATCAGTCCCCTGTCTTGGTCTACAAACCAGATGTGCAGGACAATGGGGGGGGTTTGCATCTGCTAGGGCATCATTCAGAAGTATGAGCCACAAAACTGCTACCACAGCCACGCTGAGCCACATCCTTTCCACCTAAGTTTTGGTAATTCTTTTGGACCTGCCTGAGACTGTCCTTTTAAATGACTTAGAAGCTGAGATAACTTTGGGTCACAGTCTAAGTAACTGTCAGAAAATAAAAGAACAAAAAGAAATCCACATCAGTAGTTAAATTTTATTGGGTCTGATACGGTTACTTGCATAAGCAAGCACTCACTCAAAGTGCTAATTTTACCTGTATTAACACTTTTATTAATTCAGTAATTCTTTTCTTGTGACTAGAGGGCTGTCCTGTAACTCCTGGCTTTCCAAACATCCGGACCTCTGCCAGCCTTAATAATTACAAACGCATCTGAAAGGAGCAAAAAAATCACTCGGTCTGAGGTTAACCTTGGGGACAATCCATGTGCTGAGCTTTAAATCTCTCTGTAGTGCTCGGCATGTCAGGCAACGTTATGCTGAATGAAGGATCTATTACAAGGATAAGAGGGAACTTGAATCACTATTATACACACAGAGAGCTGGATTAGTAAACATATGGGGGTTGTTGGTTGTTTGGTTTTTTTTCCTTTTCCCTGACAGGTGTGAAAATCTCGGCTTTGATTCACCAGGGCACTTTTCCATAAATTACTCCTGGTGACAGCGATGCCTTCAGAAGCCCCTGTCCTGTCCCTGCCCTTATGCTCCGTTACTCTGGCCTGTCTCAGTGAATTTTCATCATGAACTGTCTCAAACAGCAGATGTGAGTGAAAAAAGAACCCTTTTTTCTGAGTTGTTCTTCAGACAGATCAGGTCCCTGCTTCAGCGTACAACGCAGCCCCACAGGCCTTCGTGCTGGCACAGCCATGGAGAGAAGGCCGCCTGGGCGGCAGCAGGAAGCACAGCCGGGGCGGAAGGAAAGGGGCAGCAAAGGCTCCATTGGGCTCAGCAGCACGGCCACTGAATGCCAAGCCATGACTGAGACCATGTGACACAACTTGTAATTATGCCCTCTGATCCTACTGTCACCATGTTCATGGCATCTAGATGGGCTCACATTAATAGCACAAATTGCAATTTATTGGGGGGGAAAATCTTATACCAAGCAATGAGCTATTTTTGATTGAAAATTGAAAGATAAATTCAAATTTGTCTGATGTCTACCCTACTTGGCCCCCGATCTTAACTGAGCATTGAAACCCACGGTAATCTCTAATGCTCTTTAGACGTTAAAAAGAATTGCAAAAGATGGGGGTGATAAATTTATCTTTAGTTACTTAATAGCCCTGATTCACAAAACTGCAGAGCAGCAACCAGCCTTTGCTGAAGGCAAGGGAGGTTGTCACACCTGGGAGATTTTTGGAAGCCAGGGCACTGAATTGAGGATTTAAGTGTGAATGCAGAAGAACAATGTTAGATACCTCTTTTGAAAGTCTTCACAGCTTGGCTCTCTGTTGGCAAATCTACCAAGGCACAAGACAAGCAACAGACATGTGGCAAAAATGAAACTAAGGACATGATGGAACAGTAAGACTTGGGCCACGACAAAAGTCTGAGCCCAGGCACTACCGATGCTCTGACAGACACCCTATGAGCAATTCCTACAGTCTTTGTAAAGTGGCCTCTGGATGGAGATGTGGCACGTTTTAGTCAAAGCAAGCAGGGCTGGTAGCTGTGACCTGGTTTTTCTTTCCCACTTTTGGAGTTTTCACTAATTGCCCAGGTCCAAATTCCCTAGGTGTCAGAATGAACGCTGTCCTCCACAGGGACGGTTCACAAAATCCTGACTGTTATGAATCCAAAATGTTTCAGAGTAGTTTAAACACAACTTTCCTGAGAGACAAAAGCTAGACAAAAAGATGACTTTCTTCAAGCTGAGGACTAGAGGATTGGAAATCTCCCTGATCTGCAACACAGCTGCTGGATTTATAATTAATGGGAAACTCCCTATGAAATCTGAAAGGGAAAGTGATTCAAAAAGTCTTACTGAGAACTCAAAACAGGAAAAGGCCACAAGTCTAGCCAAGTAACTAGCTGCGCTGCACACTTGGTACAGATTAACATACTTTACATGTCTCTGTTGGGCATTTGTACCTCCCTTAGAGGTCAAGGAAATGAAAGAGTAATTCACAGAGATGCAGCTACCTGCGTGAGAATAGGAAACTTGTTTTACCAATGGTTTGCAAACCACTTCAGACCTGTTCTCTTAAAGGCTAACCTTTAATACTTTTGCTTCCACTGGACAGTGTTGCAATTAGGTCCATCAGGCAGCAGTGAGGCCGTATACTGTCACTTCAGTTCTTCAGCTGGGCTTGGACCCCTCACTGGGTGCTACTTACCATAATGAGCCACCTTGGGATTACATTGCTTTTAATGCATATTTTCACATATCAGACCTACTCTCTCTCAAATATTACACCAGTGTTCCATCTATACCCGCTCTATAGGATTCTGCTGTACCAAATAAATTTGGGAGACAAAAAAGCTTCTAGTACGGCTAAGCCTGGGAAAAACAGCAGAACATTTTAATACCCAGTGAGTCCTGTGGCAAAGACAGTATTGTCAAACGGGCAGATTCAGCTGAGCTGTGCCCCATCAGCACAATCCCAGATGCAGGATTCCTGATGGCAGCAAGTTCACCAGAGCAAAGGCCACGCTGGAACAGACTTGACCTCCAGCCAGTATAGTCCAAGTTGCAAAAAACACCGAACAGGATGGGGACGTGAAGAGAGCATCCTCCAGCTTCTCTGGTTCCGTGCCTCTCCTGGATTTAATTATTTAACATAGTTTTGCCACCAGTTGAAAGACTTTTTTTTTTTTCCTTTCACATCTTTGCCTTGAAATGCTTGCAAGTCCTGGATGATATTAAAACCACTTACCACAGCAAAGGACAGGAATAAGCAAAGCAAAGCAAAACCTCTGTGCAGGGAACTCTCTAGGCTTCCAGCTGGGAAACCCAGGTGAAATTGCAGGAAATTACAGTTCTTTATGTAGCCGTCCCCTTCTGCTTGATGGAGCCCTGATGACGTGAATTTGGTCAAGGCCTTGAGTCAACCAGATGCAAGTCTGTGGTCAGTGCTGACTTCACATAACCAATTGAAGATATAATTAAAAGAAGAATATGTTCACATTTATTCCAGGAAGATACCAGTCTCTGTCCTGCAATCTTGTATGCTTCCCCTGGTTCAAGCAGACCATCCTAACCAACAGAGAAACTTTGCAAATGCAGGCTCGTGGGAAGTTGTTTCTATAAAGCTCAAATGAGTCTTACAAATGGTGCAACTAAGAGCAATTGAGCTCACTTCTGTACCTTGTTGCTTTGTTGTCTCACAAACGGATGGGTGAACCTCAAAACATTTGCAAGTGTGAGTTATGTAAGTTCATCAAACTCCTGGAGCCTGAAATAAACTTACATGACAGAACTCGTGAGACCAAAGGAATGGTAAATATTCTCTAACTGTGGCAGTGTAGGAAGCTATCACATACACTGGAAGTGAATGTACACAAAGCAGATTTTGAGGGTAGAATCACCATCTGCTCTTCCTTAACTTCAGTGCAAAGTTTAACAGCTCTACCTAAACCATTGCTTCAATGTTACTCAAGTTTCACTTTAGCAGACTGGAAAGCAAGAGTTGGACTGGTATAGCATGTGTAATGTGACCGTAATAATATTCACTCAGTGCAGTAAAAACATTTAAGGGAAACAAACTCACAAATTCTTAAACAATTCAGTTAGGTCTGCTGGAAGATGTCTCTCCATGCCTTTTATTTCTAATTGTGTAGGAAATTTCTGAGATTTTATTCAGGCTAATCTAAGTCTGCAATTAGCAGGAACTTGCCTGTGTAAGGTCTCTGTGTTTGACCTAGTGCATCTTGCATATTTGCTTGTGATCCCAGCCAGAACAGAAAAGATGAGCAAAAGTTAAAAATAGACAACCACAGATTTGCTACTGGAACATTTATGAACTTCGTAGCTTGGCCAAGAATCAAGAAACTTTCTAGCTTTTTTACATACACTTGTGCCCTGATCCCTTCTTGAGATAGAAGTCTTTTTTTTTCTTTTCTGCTTTTAAGTCATTTCTAGCATTTGTTAAAATGCCTCCTTGGCAAGTGTAATGATCTCTTCTCTCATCTACCCCACATTTGCATCAAAACAACTAACTTGGTCAGAGCCACACCTGCCCTTCCCAGCTTGAGGGCATAAGTCCCACAGCATTGTTTTTAGCTGCTAAGAGTTGGCTGTTACCTCTTTTCAGGCCTTCTTCTTTCATTTGTTTCAAAGGGGATGGACCAAACTCCTCCTCCACAGGCCGGAACATCCTTTTGACCAGGACACTGCCACTAGAAAACACACAACAGGGACCATGTCACAGTAAAACTGTGCTCCCAGCAGGACAGGAGGCAACAGCAGCAGTCATGACTCACTTTGTACTCTGGCAAAACCCCCGCGAGCTACTCAAGTAGCACCAGACCAGAAACTGCAAGGATTTAGCTTTCGATGCTTATCTGAACTCTCAAATTGCCCAGACTGACTGGCTGGGATAGGTGACAGGAAAATACGCTCCCATATTACATATGATTTTGAAAACCCCGGAGGCCCTTAACTGTTTAAATATTGAAGGAAGAGGGGCGAGGAGGAAGAAACAGCTAAGTAAGGAGCTGAACCCACATTTACACATGGATTCACCTCCTCTTTGGGGTCAAGGAGACAACCTCAGGAAACACCAACAACATTTCTAAAATCCAAGACCATACAAGACAGCAAGTTCCAAAGAAGTAACATGCTGGGCCAGATCCAGCCCAAAGCTGTTACACGCTCTGCCAGGGAAGCCGAGGGCTGAAGGCACCATGGCCACCCTCTCTCCTCGGCACAGCTTTGGCAGGACTCGATGTCTCCTTTTCATCTTGGAGGAGAGAACTGAAGCCAATGTGCTTGGTGCAATAAACCCCTTTGTTTCTCAAATTCCACTGTGAGTACAAAAAGGGCCTCCTGTTTTCAAGTCAATGCTAGCTGCAAGTGCCTGGCCACTCCCTACCACAGGCCACTTTTTGCAGGCTTACGTGAGTGCAGTTGTCTTACTTCAAGCTGAGGATTTGAGGGTGCTCACTTGGGATTCACGGAACTTATAAAAGTATGGGGCTTGCATACATTACAGTTAATACTGGCTGGACTTCAGTCACGCATATTAAAAACCTTATTTCGTGGCATCTCTAACTATTTTAGGGAATTTCTGCAATTATTCCAGTCCCTCCAAGGCCAGATAGGGAGTGGTCCCATTTCCAACCTTCCCCTTTTCCAGAACCTCCCGATCTCTTTCTGCCTTTCTCTTCTGGTGCTTGGGCATTCTCTCTGCAGTTCCTGTACTTGTCACATACACACACATGTGCTGCTAAACAGCTTTCAGGAACGCAGTGAAGTTCAGTGCTTTGTTACAAAAAAACGTGGTTTTTAAATTAATTGAGAACCCTTATACATATAAAAGGCACTTTATTAACAAATATATTGTCTTGTCCCTATATTGAATCTTATGGCTCTTTAAACTGTTTTACTTGGAAATGCAATAAAAAATAGATATAAAAAGCAGCCAGTTCACATGAAGGAAAAGAAGAAAGTTAACAGGAAACAAAACCTCCCTCTACCAGTTAGTTCTACATATTATTCACCTACCATTAGCGATGGGAGAATGTGAGGGAAGGGGGAGAAAGGGGATCAGTTTTATGTGATTTTGTGTTTTGTGCCCGCTTTCTATGAGTTTGAACTGCTAACTGCAAAGCTTGTGAAACAATAAATGCCTTACCCTTCTCTCTCATCATCTGTATTATAGTAAACCTAGAAGGACGGGAAAAAAAAGCAATTATTCCCAAAACTCAGACACCTGTTTAACAGAATAATTTCAAAAGGAAGACAATACAACAAGTGGTTTGCAGATTTTCATCTGTTATAAAAACCTTTTCCTTCTATAAAACACAAACATCTCTTGTTCTAAATGCGATCTGGAAAAAGTGTGACTTAGAAAAACTGCTGTTGGGTATCATCTAGTGGAAATATATCAAAGCATTTTGACAGCTATTGCTCTCTCTCCTGGTTTATATCATTTTCCCAATTATTTTACAATCCTCTAAATCAGATCACTACTCACCTAAATTATCCCTAATACAATTTAAGCCACAACACTCACAAGCTTTTGAATGTATTTAATACTGTCTGAAAATCTAATTAAACTATAAAGACCAACATTAAACTACAGGCCTAATGGAAATACAATTACTAATGGTACAGCTGAACTTTTTCTGCACAGACTGTGGGCAGAAGCTCAAGTCCAGACCGTTGTTTAGTGTAAATCAGTATAGCTCACAGTCACTGGGACCAAATTTACAACAGCAGCAAATGCGTCTAACAGTAGCAGGGGAGGTATAAAATCATAGACTGTTGTAAAAGGCTTTACAGAACAGTCAGCCAAATTCCTCACAAAGTGCCTGCACAGCGGGTCCGCACCGACAAGTGTACCAGCATTCCAGCTGCTGAGTTACTGTGCAAGTGCTGGGCGAAGGCAGGGCACCGGAGCCCTGCGTTCTGCTGGTTCTGAGGTCTGTAACTCACTCTATGACCAGGGCCTTACGGTCATAATAAATCATTCTTATATTAAATAATACACAAAACAATTGAAAAGTTCAGGATAGCAAGAATGCTGATACTGCAACCAATACAGCAGTAAAAGACAGGGCTGAACACGGCCTAAGAGCTAGTAAACTGGGGTATCTTCCAGTTAGTTTAGAAAATTATTTACAGGATTACATATACTAAGGAATGCTTCCGCCTTCTCCTGTTTTGAGACAAAACCACATTCTGGTTTGAAAGCCACGAGGACAGAAGGTACCCAGCACTGATATGCGAGTGGGCGTCTTTCCAATTTTGGAGAGTAAGTCAGTGACAGCTGTGATTGCAATGTCTGTGCTCTTTGGGCTTTGCTCTACCACAATTCTCACTGCTTTAGAATAAATGACAATTCCAACACTCAGTGTCATTTAATCTTCATTATTTTAATATTTTGCAGCAAGATGCATATAAAATTTCCTCATCTACTATTTGTCTTTATAAACACATGCATAAAGGTCTCATTCCACTCCCCGAGACGTTAATAAATAACAGGTTCATGTACAAAAAATTGTCAGAGCTGACCCTCCAATTTGGATTTTCAATTTCCCAGCAAGCAATAAAGTAGGTCTTGAAAGAGTCAAGTCAGCAAAACTTCCTCACACTTACTGGTGTGATAATGACTCCATGACTTCTGCACTAAGCCAATACTGAATATTAGCATGATAGATTTTTACTTTGTAGAGCGAAAATATTTTCTTCCAGGGAATTTCCAGATCTCTAGGTGATGCCGACAGAAAATGGGCAGCGGTGTTTAGTAAACCTACTCTTGACTCCTCACACATGTAAGAGCTTGGTCTTTGTTTTCAGTTGTCACAGGGAGGGGGATCTCTGCTACCACAAGGTGGCACTTCATTTCATCAAGCCAAATAGCACATTCAAACCCAGACTTACTTTCAGTCACAAACCAACCTCCTACTTCAAAATTCTTAACTATTTGTTCCATTCTTTCTTCCAAGCAAAAGAATGGCAAAACCATAACAAACACAAACTAATCAGTGGTTAATGAAGTATAAACTCCTTTTTTGCACCCAGAACTCAGAAAGGCACCTGTCTCTTGCAAGGTCTTTTTTAAGTGACTCACCAGGAGTTGCATTTACCAAAAGGAGAGCTGAAATAAACAGTCCCCAAGAACAGTGCTTTGTTTTCCTAAAATCTGCCTGGGAGCGCACATGGCAGGTGGGCACCGGCTCATCTCATTATCATTTCTTACCTGTCCAGTTCTTTGTAGGTTTCCAAAGTGAACATCCGGTATGAAGAGAACTGGCTGGGAATCCAGGTCAGCCATTGTTTTGAAGAAGGTGATATCGCTCTTTTTTTGCAGAGGGAGTGCACTCAACTTCCCTTCAGCTGTTAGGAGGATCACAAAGCAACGTGCTTATGAGAGGAGGCATGTTAAGCGTGACTTGGCCCCAAATCAGAAAGGCCCGTCATACTCACAGTTATTACATGAGGCTTGGGATGTCTGGCCTTTGCCTTTCTTCCTGTTCTGCTTCCTCTCTTCATCTCGGATTTTCCTTTCTGCTCCCTGATGCAAAAAAGACAACCCACAAATATTATCCAAAGAGGCCACTGTGAGCATCGTACCCTGCAATGGCTGCTGGAACTACAATGACAGACACATCAGAAATGCTGAAACAGAGACTGGTTATCCCACTACAGATAAATCTGTCCAGGTTGTTGGGAACATGCCAGCTCTGGATCGATCACCTGTGCCTGAAACACAGGCTGGCACATCCAGCAGCCCCCAGGGCTGGAGACAGCAAGAGGAACATATCCACACACTGTTTTGGAGGAGACGGGACAGACGGCTCAGGCAACGTGCAGTCTGTAGCAGAGCTGTTGCCACCACAACTTGTGCAAAGGGCATCCTGAGCCTCTGTGATGGACAGATACATCAGACCACATACTTTGTGTATGCACTGACGTAAAACACCTGCAGGATTGCTATCGTCTTATTTCATGTCTGTGCCAAGCTTTTCCCTAAACTCTTCTCCACCCACCTTGTCCGGGGGTGGCATCACTCCACAATGGCCAGCTTCGTAGAGGCCTTTGAGATTTGCCAGTGCAAGAAGGCTACACTAACAGCTTGCCAACAGCGCGAGGGCTCTTACAGAAAAATACAGGCATTTCAAACAGGGAGAAGCCCTCCAGAAACTGGAAGGCAATGTAGCACTGCCCTATTAGGCCCCAGGAACTCCTGGGAAGTTACAGGCTTCTGTTATGTAAATACACTCCCAACAAGTTTAGAAAATAAAACTTGTTATTGACATAAAAAGCAGCAACACCTCCTTTGAAGTTCTCCTAATTTACTTTATAAATATGAATAGTCATGTTGTGAAGGGTATTAAAGATCCATATGCTCCCAGACAGTCAGCATGCAAAATTAAAGATTTTTTCAAAATTAAAATTAGAAGTTTCTTTAAAAGAAAGAGCGGAGGGGGAGGGAGGTAAGAAAAGCCAAAAATATCCACTCAAGATGGCAAAAATCATGCATAGGCCAATGAAACAAGCTTGTAAAGAATGCAAGGAAAGATGTACTCCCTGTTGTGATCTATCAATAGATTTCCAGAGGTTGAAAGAGGTGGAGGAAGAAACAGCTCTTTAAAAAACATGAAGGTGTCTGACAGAAACATTGCTTCCAGACCCAGGTCCCAATCCAGTTGTCACTGACTTCAACCACAGAAGACAAGGGATTCAGAGTTGTGCCCTAATCAAAATTGTTTCTAGGGGTACCTTTGTACCTTTAAAGGCCACTGTTCTTTGGCAGAAAGGAGCAAAAATATGCCCCACAGCTACTGTCCTGCAGAATACACATCCCTGAGAGTCCGGGGCTGCACAAAGCGGCTCTGCCAGCCACAGCCCTACCTACCCCTCGGTGCTACCGCTCTGCTGCTCACAGGTAATGGGACCAACCGTGAAAGTCATTTCGTACGTGGCAGCAAGCACGAGTTTCCTCCTAGGAATGCAGAAACTGAGGACTCAGCCTTTTATACACAATAAAGAATATCTGTTTTGCTGATTTTTCTTTGATATTCTCTGTAACCATGAACATGGTAAAGCTTCACAGCTTTGTCTTCATTCACTCAAGGCAAGACACCGCCCAGTCCTCCTGTGTGTGGGCAATCTCTGAGCAGGGCAGCCATTCCCACCCTCTGGTGCTCATTTGTGCCACAACCACTTTACAAATGTGGTAAACGCAATACCCACAAAACTACCTACCAGCCCTCTGAGCTAGGAGCATCCCACATAGCACAGTGCGGGGGCCCACCAAGCCCACATGATGTACATCATTGTTGTAGACTCTGAGACAATGGTCTGCAATAAGATTTTTGCATACCAGAGCAGTTCTGCTGGACAATTTTCACAGCTGAGCCATCTGACATATATCTAATCTAATAAATCAGAGTTTGCATATGTCTTCAGGAAAGAAGAAGAAATAACCCTTTCATAGGGGACCATAAATTAGGCTCTGACCAGTCAAATAATTGAATGAGTTTTTGATTTTTTTATTGATGTCTGGACTTTGAATAAATGCAACAAGTACTTCTGCTACTAAGCATTAGCAAAACACAGCCTATGAATTTCAGCTGATTCAAAATATTTTTTTTCCAAGTCTTCATCTCATTTAAACTTGTGTCTTACATTCTAGCTCCAGCCTAGCAAAGCCCTTACCATCATAAGAACCACTGCCACCACCTTTATGAAGCTCATGTGTACACCTGTTTCTAATTCACGGCCAAAGCGTTCCACATTTGGTAGGACAGGCCCATAGACTTCAGCCTTCTTCTCTCTAAAGCTGAAGATTAAGAGGCAACTAGAGTTGCTCAATACCCTATGATAATCCATTTTCCCTATGACAATCCATACTGAAGACAAGTGAGCAGGACCTGCATATATTCCAAAGAGCGTGTAGTTTTTCAGAGTAAAGAAAACAAGATTAATTTATTTGATTTTGGAACAATGTTATCCTATTTGCCAAGTCAAATGCTTCTGCTTCTTTTCAGCAAGGCTAATCACATATAGAAAATCAAAATATCTCTGAATCCCCAGTTCCTTCATACACAGTGGCTAAAGCATCTTGCAATATATAAATATAAATAGGCCTGGTAGCAAGTTTCCCTGACAACCTAGTTAAGGAATAAAAATTATATTCTCCTATCATAATGCAGCATCAGTGATCTGCACATGATAAAAAGACTGCAAGGGCACAGAGAATTAGCACCGAAAAAACAGGATGTGCACTGTAATGGTCGCTTTGAAGATTGCCCACTGGAAAATAAACAGGGACAAAAGATTGGAGAATGAATAGGGAGCAAGCACATGATTACAACCGTTGCAGCCTTTATCTCCATACATTTATGTCATGAAGCACACATTGGATCTGAGTTGGTGTCGTTCTCTAGTTCATACACAAATGAATACTACATTTAAGCAACTGCCTGAGTAAATACTAAAATATAAATAATATGTACCATTTAGCTAAACGCGGTTTTATTTCTTCAGGGATACTCTGTCCACAACAGCTACGCTGTGTTTCAGTTGGAGGACATTAACTTATCAGTGAACGTTTTTCTTAAAAATTGGATACCTCAACCTGTGATTTATCTAACTTACTATACAAACACATCCACTCATCCTAAAGAGGCACCATCACTGCAGAAAAACCATTTGTAAGAACACCGTCAGGCACAGAAACATTTTTTTCTTCCACGTTTCAAACGAAGATACATTTCAGTACTTAGGCAGGAGGAATTTACCGTGCAGTTCCTCTCATCCAGGTAATTGTAATAAATCAGGTACTTTTCTCATCAGCTTCTCTTTGGGGTTGTCAGATTGGCGCATAACAGTGCAATTCATACTTTTAAAACGTATAAAAATTATTTTATGTTTGCTGTTTGTTTTTTTTTTTAATGACCCTGTAATACTTTTTTAACTGATCATGACAATGAGGTGGGCAATAATTGTCTCGGCTTCATGGCCTCTCCCCAACAGGCAGCAAACCTTGACTTTGTCACTAGAGGGCGAGTCGCAGAGTTGGCAGAGAAACCCAGCGAGCCAGGGACCCTCCATTTATCACCACCTCAACAGGTGCCAGGGTTTATTTTGCCATCTTGGAAAGAGGAGAGTACCCAGCCCTACCAGGTACCTTCCTCTGAGCATGATGATTCCTCCCAGTGCCACCAGCAAGTGGAAATTCTCCAACCATTTACTGATTTACAAAAGTACCGTGACAGACGGATGTCTGTAAAGATACAGCAGTGTAAGTGAGGGGGAGAAGCAGGCCCCAGTCTCTTTCCAAGTGCTAATTAGCACAAACTGTCTTGTGAATTGACCTTCATAATTTTAATTCATTTTCATTCATTCAACTCATTTTCAGCCCTGCATTAAGTTAAAAAGCTCTGTGTGTACATACGCGTGTATACATTTATATTATACAGATACATATCCCATTATCGATACCCTTGAGCCTTCCAGTTCCCACTTTCAAAACAGTTTTGATGTGGATAATGCTTTAACTACCCCTGTGATCTTTTCTTCTACTTTGAGACAGTTTTGATTAAAAGACTCAACATCCATTTCCTTCTTTTTAGTCTGGATATTTGAAGTACCAATTAAGCCACAGATGCAACGAACACGTATTATTCAAAATCTCCACCAGTTGTGTCTACAGGTCACCCTTGATGAGTTTGTGCTCTGAATTTCCTTCCTTTTTTAAAATAATTCAGATTTTTCTAATTGCTTTGCAAAAACAGGTAGATAAAAATGACTTGTTACTTTGATATTTACTGAGCTTTTAACATCCAGCTGCAGCTTTAAATCTCTAAATATTTGACATTCAAAGTTACAATTAAAAGCATAACATTTTGACTGCAAGAAGACCTCAGTGCATACATTTACGTTCATTACTTTCAAAGTTTTTGCTCCACTAACACAACTGACTGATTAGCCCTCAAGATTCTGTTGTCAAGACAGCAACAGGGGAATGAACTGAAAGAGGGGAAGGAGCAGCAGCACACAGACCTGGAACAGTTGAACTCTTACCCTTTCCATTAAAAAGTTAATGCTACGTATTGCCTGGGGCATGGCCTTTTGCCTTTCTATTCCCATCTGTAAGATGGCAAGACTAATTTGGATGCATTTATGAGTCGCTTAAATAGATGTAGGCTCCTGAATCCCTGAACCTTGACTAGAGCCCAGGCATCAGCTCCCCCCTGGAAGATCTTTCCCAGCTGGGTTAAAGTCATCCACTGGCAGCTGTTAAACACAACTGAAACGTGGTCATGCTCACATCTAAGAATCATCACTGAGATAATATTTCTGAGCAGCTGTTTCTATTCAGTGATATATACAGCTGACCATGATGCTGTCAGACTCATTAAGGCGTGACGTATGTTTTGGTGCTGAAAAATCTTACCAATTCCCACAAAGGAGCGAGTAAACCTATTGTAAAAGAACCAAATTTTGCAAAAGAGGGAGTGAGCAAAAAAAGGGAAAAAATAGTTACTGAACTACAAAATGGGAACAGCTAGTATATTTTTGCAGTTTACTTTTAATAAGAAAATCCTAGCAACCTAAAAGTCTCAGTGAAGCTTCCAAAATAATGGTATGTAATCAAGTGGAAGAAAAAAGCATTACCTGCACCATTGGGACTCAGAGTTTTCCACTGTATCATAAAGGAGATCTTAGCAGGCCTTTCTGAAAGGTGCATTTGTCTATCAGAGACCTCTCCACAAAGTTTACACATTACCTATCCTGGCTGTTAGAGCCAGAAGACATAACATCATCAGAATGGCACTTGCGTGAGCCTATGGTCAGCACTGACCTTCCAACTAGAGACCTTTACCTTTGTGCTTTCTGTGACTTTTTTGTTATTCCTGTATCACGACCTATAACATGCTGTTATAAACAGTCCAACTATTGCTCACAAGCTGAGAAATCAGGGCCAAAAAGGCTGCAAAGCAGTAAAATAATGACATGATAATCTGTTAGATTTATGATATAGCTGGTCCGAATTCTACCATGAAACACAATTCTTTAGGGAAATTAAAAAAAAAAAAACCCAAAGCATTTAATTAGGTCTAACAAGTTTCCTCCTCTACCCATGGTAAATGTGGTTTCCACTTACCTTGTCACAAAAGACCTTGATCTGGCAGTAGGCTCGGTGGATGGGTTTATTGCTGCGGTTGTTGTAGCTGTACGTATCGATCTGAATCATCAAAGGAAGCCCTTTTACTCCTTTCTGTGAGGAAAAGTCTGTGCTCAAGCAATTCACTGTGATGAAAATCTGTGTGCCAGAGAGATTACTTTTAAAATCTAGTGCAAACAGTCATTAAATTTCTGGAAACACATGACAACAAATTGTGAAATAAAAGCAGATACTCCCCTCTCCAAAAAATATTTTAATTCAGCTGTGATCCACACTCTGGCAATTCACACATTTATTCTCCACTTCTGTCCTTAGTCCAGCAAAGATGCTCCTGTGCTGGAAAGGCAGACAAACTTTTATGGCATGTATCAATGCTTCAGTTTGGATCAGGAGCTCACATCTGAGGTGAATCATTTGATTGCCCCAACTTTCTGTGTTTTGGTTCACACCAGAGAGCTCAGAGTGCATGTGCTGGATTCTTTTCAAAAGAGCCAGACCAGAAGATGTGTCCTAGGAGCACACCTCACATGCTCCAGCTGTTAATGGTTGCTCAGTCTGTGGCAACTGACCAAAGATAACCTGAGATGAAACCTCCTAAAAAGCATCTCACGCAGCTGTCAGGTCTTTAGCCATGACTTGTTTCACCCTACAAACCTGCTCCGTATGTTTGCACTATTTGTTAATGTAGACATAAGAAGATCATCTTGCATTGTCCTTTGCAGCCATATTTTGGTCTGGCTTGTTCTTCCGACAGCTCACAGTTTAACTTCAGTGTGGCCAAAGAAAAGTCCTACCCTACCAACCTCCCCCAATCCTCTTCTCACTCTCCCTTCCTCCATCCCATCAACAGATACTCCTGATCTTCACTTTAAAGGTCCTTCACTATCTTTCTTCAATTTCAAAAATGCATCTCATCCTGTCTTTCAAACTGGAAAGGAGTTTCTCAAACATTTATAAAACTACTCCCTACCTTTACCGTACAGCATTCATGCAACTTGACACTGCCCTTGGTTCCTGGGAAGCCCTGCCTGCCTTTGCGTCAGAAACCTGTCTCGTGCTTTCCTCTACGCCCACTTATGTCTGTTGATAGCCACCAGCCACCTCCTGCCCTCTAACCTCCATCGGTACTGCGGGGCAAGGTGTGTCTGCTCTGCCGTGTGTTTGTACAGCACCTGGCAGAAGGGTCTCCCACCACCAAGTCTCCCAAGGACTACCTGGATGCAAAGCAAACCCTGTGAACTGAAACATCACTGATAGCTTTCAGTCAGGATAGCGTGCATGAACCTTGGGAGATTAAACTGTGTTAAAAACCCAATTGTTCTTCCCAGTGATGAATATGTGCATTACATAGTAATTTGGGTCAATTATTTATCGACCTGATTCGACTTTTCACTTTTCCTCAGTTTAAAAAACAACAGCAAAACCCCAAAATTAAGGGAAAGGACAAAGAATACCACCAGTATGTATTGCCTGAACCAGGAGGATGTGAAACCTGCTCCGGCAGAACGAGCGCTCTCGGGACAGAAGAGATCTGCGGAGTCTCTCAAACAGCCCCGATGCACACCTCGCCGGGCAGAGGAGAGGCCAACAGACCCCTGGCGCCTGGGAGGATTCAGGAAGGGAGAGCATGAAGGAACCCCTCCCTGATCCACAAGCAGGGAAAAAAACAGTTTGAGTGACCAGAATAGGAACATCCCTAAGAGAAAGGCAACTGAGAACAGAAAAGGGCTCCGGCAGGGCTGGTGGGGGGATACTTTACCCTAATGGCAAAAGTTAACATTACAGTCAGGTTTTTTACAAGAGCCAGAGCAGCTTGTTTGCCTGACTGAGCTAATGGCACCTCCGCATTTCTGCTTCTGATTGTATCACAGAGCTGCATTTACAAATGAAATAGTTGAACTTTAACTGTGGGAGAGGAGGGAGGCGGGGAAGGGCCCTAGGTGAAACTCTGATTTTGAAGCCGATAGTGTTATTTCTGTTTCAAATTACAACTTGGTCTCCTCCAGCTCCAAAGGTAAGTGTGGATGGGGGTGCATATGCCTTTGAAATACGACGGCCTGAATTTTCATTTGCCTTCAGACTCCTTTACAGTGTCAGGGCAATGCTTTAAAGTGCATGTGAACACGGAGCAGCTGAATGAGGTCTGGCATAAAACAGAATCTGGTCTTGCTATATTTTAGCCCATACTTCCACACAGGGATTTTCCAAATGGCACGTTAAAATGTGGGAGGGGATGTGCAGGCTTTGCATCTACCCAGCAGTTTGTGCATCTACTGCCTTTGCTGCACGCTCAGCTGAGAAGTGAAAAAAGACCTTGTCCCACCTTAATCAGCTACATACACTGTGTGTCATCTCTTCTGCTGCCTCCAGAAACACTGAGCTGAGTAGGAGTGGCTGGGGAAGACAGACTTTATCGTTTTAAGAGTCCCCATACAGCAATAACAGATTATTCAGCATGAATAATAGATTGATGCTGTAAGATTCAATATCCTTGTCCTGACACTGCAATACATCAGGATCTCTCTGAGGAGCAATGACTGTACCTTCATGCGCATGAAGTGTACTATACTTTCTGTCATATCATTTGCACCACGCAGATAGACAGATGGATTCGAATTAACACAGATCATTTATTTTGGGGAAAATTTTCTGTCTCCACACAATCCACACAATTAGCTTTCCTATAAAGCATAACACTGACTTTGGATTTGGAAAACATGGGGGGGGGGGGAAGGGAGGGGTGAGAGGGCAGAAGTTCTGTCACTTGAGCTGATTGTAGGTGGTTTTTTTCTTTGCATGACTGAGGATTTGCAGTTTCAACACCATGGTGCAGCAAGCTGCTGCAGTGAACAGGGCCCCGGGAATCCTCTGGACAGTCCTCTTCTCTCTGCCCCTGCCCTGCCCAGAAACCTTCACCTCCTTAAGGCAGTGGCCGAGGAATGCTGCCTGCTTCCATTTCAGCTGCCTGTCCAAGCACAGCCTGCTTTGCCCTTTACAACCCTCATCTCTCCCTCCTTTGCAGCTCCTGTCCATAACGCAGGTACTTCCACTCTCAATGACACAAGGAGCAAAACAACCCCATGGGCAACCACAGAAAGATTGAGTCCCATCCTACCTCCCTTGGAAGACACTGGTTTAAGAGCCTCCTTGCTCTGGTCTCTTGCACAGTAAAGTTACATGGTTAAGACAATTTAGAGTTAAGTAGAAATGACAGTAGCAGGAGTAGAAATCACTGCTTTTTTCCCCCAGGGCCCTGTCTACACTTGACTTAGAACTACTTTAATGGATGTGACTATGGCTGTACCGGAATTCATTTACAAACTTTTTTTTTTTTCCTGTGCAAACTAGATTTTAGCAATGTTTTGCTATCAGGAACAAGTTTGGGTTGTCGTTATAGTGATGTCTTTTTTTTTAATGTCAGCATATCTTAGATTTGAGCAATTAGTGATAAAGTTCCACCCATCTAGTCTCCAGCTCAGGCATGCCATTGGCAATGAAAAACTAATTTGGAGAAATATTTGGTGCCTGAGAAAGTTTCAAAAGTGGCCTAAGATAATGACAACTCTTCTGTTTGTTACAGAGCATGCCTAGAAAAAGCACTCTCTCTTTCGGGGAAGGCACTCCTCCACAGTGTAGCTGTTATTATGTGAATTACTGTTTGTTAAACACTGCAGCATAATTAGTGATGTACAAGACACAAACACAGTAACCTACCTTTAGAGAAAGCAAGGCCCAGAAATACATTTCCCCTTTTATCATTTAATCCAGCCAACACGACTCCTGCTGTGGTTTCTCAGCTTATACACTTTAAAGGTCTACAGTTACGAAACCTCTAATATAAGTCTTTTATGACTATTTACATTCCTGGCTCCCATCATCTCGGAAAGAGCCACAGGCAGAAGGGAGGGAAGAGTGCGTTATAGCACAAAATCAGAAACTTAAAGCAATTTCTCTACTGAATACTGGTAATACATAGAATCTACGCCTGGGTGATGAGTCTTTGCAAATTCCAGTTTTAAAGGGGTTCATCCCTCCAGACTGTATCAACAAAGAGTTAAATGACTTGTCTCTTAAATGAATAGCATCAATCCCATCATTCCTCCCGTACACAGAAAGTGTGGTTTTATAGTTTCTCCTGCCAGCCGTTACCTTATAAATCCCATACAAAGGTAAGACCTTTGTTTTATTTCAATACAAATGTCTCCAGCAAATGTTTACACTACTCTTTTGAAGCTTCCTCAACCCACACCACACCCTGGCAACTACATAAAAATGCCATTTGCCTTGAATCCCAGATGCACACTTACTGAACCGTTTGTATACACTGAAATTTCAACATTATTTGCTACCACAGGTTAACTCTTCTTTAATATATACAAGTGTGTGTGCATGCAAGACATATATATATATATTTAAAAAATATATATGCACGCATACACACACAGACAGGGTTTATTAAACCAGTTGCCAAGTCTAATCCTACATAATTTCTGGTACTCATTCCCCCAAATAAAGTATCTTCCTCCAACCTTTAAATTTTTAAAGTAAAGAAAATACTAATTTCCTCCTTAATGAAACAAAATTTGATCTAAGTTAGGACGGAAATTAATAATGAAGAATAAAATAATTCTGATACTAGTCGAAGCTTGTCCTAAGAATTGCTAGCAATGTTAAAGAAATATGGATTGTCACAATACACATCACTGATAGACTGTACTGTTCTATCAGCTTGATTTTACAGTTGTGCCCACTGGAATCAAAGCTCACTTCAGCCCACAATGTCTAAGAACCTAATCCCGCAAATCACTCACTCATTGAAAACACAGATTATTACTGTATGGGCTATGCCAAAACTCATTAAATAACTGGAAAGGTTCCCAGAGACTTCAGCATACTTTGGATTAAAGATCTACATTTCAGTTAAATATAGCAGGACAATGATTGCATGCAAGTATACACAACAACTGCACAGCATACAACTTCTGTACACACCAAAAAGCATGTGCCAGCACCTGCCTGAATAACATATCTGTCAACATGTCTGTTTACCGCATGTCCAAGTTGCAGCGCTTTGCAGAAATCTGTAATCTCTTCATACCACTGAAAAGTATTTTTGTCTGCTTTAAGATGATGTTTTTCTTTAGCAACCGTTCACTGAAGTCACATCTTTGAATTTAAGGTTAAAAAGTGCCTTCCATAAAAATATACAATTAATGTATTGTTTCAGAGTACCATCATCCTAACCTTTTTAATTAGCAAAGTATTAATCAGAGAGAAGGTACATCTCAAAGAGTTGGTAGGGTTTATGACAAGGATATTCTCATTTGACCAGGAAAGTTCTGGTTCTTAATTATTTTTCTTGCAAACTAACTTCTGTCAGCAATCAGACTCCAAGCAAGCAGATGTATTTCTATCAAAAAGAAAGCTGAGCTCTATGTTCAAAGGCCTCCACTAGAATTTTGTCAACCAGCCAGATGCTGCAGCAGAATCTTCTGTAGGGCAACAGCAAAGCAACTACCTACCTGCTAGCATATCATAAAAAGACTTTTAAAAGATGGTTAAAAAGTCAGCCAGTTCTTGTTAATTGTTGTTTGTTTCCGTACCTTTTTTTAAAGAACTCCTTTAAAAACACCATAGCATTCAGGTTCAACCAAAGGGAGCCAACAAATCACCTTGCCCATAAAAGTTGCATATTTATATGTAGAAGTAAATACAGGAGTGAAAGGAAGATGGACTGTACAAAAAGTATTCTACACTTCCTATCTTTGCTTTCTTATCGCACAGTATTTTTGTCTCAAGGCAGCACAAGGAAGAGTTCGACATGGCTGTAAACCCTTCCCCTTATTTCCCGGTATCCTGCTCTGAACCACAAGACCCACGGTGACCTCTAGAAAAAGGTAAGGATGTGTCAGGCCCAAATCTGCTCTGCCAGAAGGCAAAGGGACTGCTGTTGTTGACCAGATACAGCAGTGGAAACGTTATATTCTGACTTTGGTGCTGTTCCCTTAAATCCATGGAAAGCAATGGCGAGATTATTCCACAGCTCAACATGTGCTGTACAAGATTCCCTCTTCCATTGACTTGTTTGACCAAGCAGCGGTCGGAAGATGAGGGACCGAGCATGAGGAGCTGGAGCCCACACACCAGTTCCCTTCACGTTACAGAGGCAATAAAGGGAGGTCTCTGCCTGTTCTCTCTGGATGCCTGTTTCTTCCACATACGATCCAAGTGAGATGCTGCCTCACAAACCCTTAGCAGGCTCACTGGTAACAGGCAGATTCTGGCTGTCACACCCGCGCTGTTGTACCCTCATCCTGAAGAGCTTCCAGGAGGAGGGTACTGCTCTGCTTGTGTGTGGGAGGAGAAATCTGGCTTTAAATCAGCTGCCCTCCAGGTGGAGTAGGAAAGTGAGAAATCCGATGCTCCAGTTAAATCTTCCTAGATGCGGGATTTAGTCTCCCAGGAGAGACGGGGATATTTGGTTAGATGATTTCTGCTTCTTCTGTTTGATTTTTCCAGACCGCTCCCCTGAGCGCTTCCAACGACCAGACTGTTTTCTTTATTTCTTCCCGGGCCAGTAGAGCGCTTCATCACATCACATCTCAGAGGCCCTGGAAAGAACTGCTCTGTGCCGCTTTTGTCTGACTCAGAAGAGAAAGGTCTTTGTGCCTGTGAAGTTAGTTTTAATCTTGAAATTGTGGTGAAGAGGGAAAACAACACTGAGCAGAAACAATGGAGCCAGTTTAAAGATCATCGCTCAAAAAGCTTAAGAAAGGAGAGTCTGTAATTAGGCCTTGAAATTCTTCGTCTCTCTTGGATGAGGTAATTGCTGGAGAAAAAACAGCCTTCAGTGACGTGCCTCAGAGTCCACAGCTTTCAAACACCGCAGGGGCATCCTATGGGAATTCCCAGACCCAGCGCAACTGGTTATTGTATTAGACTCTCCAACAAGAGCAAGCATGTGGGCACGTGTACACATGTGCGGGGAGGGAAATACTTTCATGCACGGTGATAAGCTTTCAGGTACAAACTGATCTATGCCTGATAGCCCCATACCAAAGCATGTTGTGAATTCCCTTACTTTTATCAATACATTTGCAGTTCAAGCTCCTAAAAGATCAGATATTTGATAACTACCCTCAAAATAAATATGCATAAGCCAATTTGCATTTTAATGACTATTCCCTGCAGAAATAGAAGTGGCTTTCTTGAATTTCACTCCTGACACTTTTTTAATCCAGCAACAATAAGAAAGTCATTATTTTAAAATCTTACTATGTTATTTTTCCAGTGACCGTTGTGAGAGTTGTGTTCTTAATGTGCTGACACCCAAGGCAGGAACAATGCGAACGGTGTGAGATTAGAACAAAATGGCCGAGGATAACACCTGACATTAGTGGATGTGACTTTCCTGCTCCCAGATCAACATGGCACCTTGCCATGCCGGGCTTGCAGCTGCAAATTCAAGTGCGTTACAGAACTGCTAGCTCTGGCAATGGGGATGGTAGTTGCTGGTGGGACGAGACTGCCGTGCGCTAGCCCTGGCAGGGCTTCTGTAAAGGTCCTTGGGAAAGTCCATCGTGTTGGAGATCCCAAACCTGCGTTTGCTGCATTTGCTTGCATAATGATCACACGCGCACAACTGTCATCTATTGTAACCGCAGAGTTACATACCGCTGTATTTTGAAATGGAATCACATAATAGGGGAATATCTGGGGCAGTGAGAATGTAATCGTTACATGAGTAAATACATCACCATTAGCAACTGGGCCAAGTACAACTGTGTTTACCAAGGCCAGCTTTTGAAAGAGCTAGGTGGCTTTCAGAACTATTGTCTTTTCTTTAAGTGCTCTATTCTTTTAAAATGTGCATCAGAGATGAAAATCCCTGTTACTACAAACCTCAGCACCTTCGATCAGCAAGTCAGGACAGTGAATGTCAATGCCACCACTCCGTGCTTGATGCAATCTCTCACAGGACTCGCTCTATGCAATCTCTCTAATGCTCTGTTAGAAAAGCAGCGGGGAATGGTGCATGAAGATGTCTCTGCGTTTGCAAGGTCCTTAGCATTACCTGAGCACCGGGCATTTTGTATTCGACATGAAAACAGTATCAAGGAGTTTCCTAAGCTTAACAGTGTTTGCTGTTTATTATTTCTACATCTCTGAGAGTCCCGCATTACCCTCACTCATTTTACTCAGCCTATTTCCCTTGTTGTTTGCTTTCCGGGGGCCAACTTCTTATAATTACCGGCAGCTTTTCATGTCTCCTACACTAGTCCATGCAGCTGAAACACTCTGGCACCCTTTGAATTACCTTATCTGTAAGAAACTTGTTAAGGTGCTCAGCTGTCCTGGTTTATAGGCCGACTGTAGCAGTCACATCTCTGAATGCAAAACCTCATGTCTGAGGGTACTTGACCATTTAAAAAAAAAAAAAAAAAAAAAAGAAAGAAAGAATGCACCAGTCCTCGAAAACAGTCCTCAAAAATACATTCCTTCCCAATTGCAAGGACAGCCTGTGTAATGCTATAAAAAATAATGGCACAAACACAAGGGAAGACATACTCTAGCACAGAGAATATTGATTATTGGAGATGTTAATATTGTAGAAAGGAAGTTGATAATTTAGAGAAAGGAAACATTCACCCTGCGTCCTACACTGACTTTGCAAGCAGGAAAAAAAAAGTTTACTGTTTCTCAGGCTGGCCACATTTTAAATGGAAAATCACTGAGAGGCCACAAGTAGAAACTACACTGCGAGAGCCCTGCAGGTTTTCCTCAGAACTACATCTCTATTTGTCAGCGATACAGGTGCGAACGCTGTACCACCCCGACAGCCATTATGTACCATCTTGCCTTTTACAGATGGCCAGAATCCTTGGGGTCAGTGAAAGACCACGGTTTGCCCGGCTTTGCAGAGACTGAGCTCTCTCACCTCCATCTACCCTTCTTATTAATTGTTAACAAGGAGAGAAGTGGAACAGTGACTAAGGATGGATGGTACTTATAAAGGGATACCATCTGCATGGCTTTTCCTCACCTTTGCCTCCTCATTGACATCCCAAGTAAAGGACACAGCATTGAACGCGATTTCTTCAATATTCCCAATAGTATTAAAACTCTCCTTGTAATCAGCTGTAAGAAATAACAAACAAAAGATTCATCAAAAAAAGTTTGAATGATTTTACAATTTTACATTTCATAGTACATCTTTGCTTTTTCTTCAATATTCCCAATAGTATTAAAACTCTCCTTGTAATCAGCTGTAAGAAATAACAAACAAACAAAAGATTCATCAAAAAAAGTTTGAACGATTTTACAATTTTACATTTCATAGTACATCTTTGCTTTTTCAGTCGGGATGTCTGATGCATCAAAACTACCTCTTGTGTTGCTTATGTTGAATTATTAATAAGCTTAATTGCAAAGAGGTAATATACTGCAGCTTGAGTCTTACGCATAGTACATCACTAGCTATCGTTCTTGCAAAATATTGCTTGCTCTCAAAAAGGAATTAATGTGACTGTAGTGGGAATGAGTGGGTGTATTCACTAGCTTAGCCAAGGAATGGCCAAAACTGGAAAATTAAACAAAAGCTACTGAAACATTTAAAGGGACTGTTTAAACATTGACATAAATAAACGACATTGTGGTAAATCCTAAAGAAGCTTTCTAAAAAGCTAACAGCAATCATCGGAAGAAATAATCAGTAGTGCACATTCCTTGCCCAGCCATTTCAACTTTCCCAGGAATTAATGCACTAGATGCTGTATCGCTATTTAAAAAAAAAAAAAAAAAAAAAAAACCAAAAAAACTCCAAACAAACAAACCCACAAAGATCCTTTCTCCAAAGTGTGTATGATACTAAAATAGCACACAAACATAAAGTATTTTTAAATTGTCTGACTACAGAATCTGCACCCTCTTCTCACTTATTTTCAAAGGGCTATTGATATTATCAATAAACCAGCATTTCAGAAGGAATACAAAGCAAGAGGGAGGCAGTCCAAATGTTAAAGATGACCCACCCCCACCAAAAATGATAAAGGTGGAAAACCACAGAAAACGGACAACTTCCAGGTTTTCTTTATAATCAAAAAGAGGAACAAGACCACTTTTTCCTCTCCCTTTGCCAACCAGTTTAACACACTTTCTTTTTGATGACAGAGTAAGAGAAAGACCAGGTTTATAAGGAGGTAATATCTCCTTGATTAAAGGAACTTCCAGATTCTTCACACAAATGCACCGACTCTCTCCGGGACATAGACATTTCCTTAGAATACCTCCAGGGCCGTAACGGCTGTAATTGGGCTCAGTGCCAGAGGGCTGAGATTATGTCATGCAGCAATCTTGATCTAACTTTTTCCCAAATCTGCACTTCAGAAAGCACACTGATTCTTAGCTTTGTCATCAGTTATAGAAAGAGGATGTTTTTGTATTCTATAAATGAAACACCTAAATGGTTTCAATATTCCTTTCCTTTGCCCTTCTAGAAATAAATTGTTGGTCTCTAAAAAATAATTTCTAGGTAATAACTGTTTTAAAATAATTTATAACAAAATCATTGCTGCAAGGAGAATTACTTAGAATAGAATCGTTTAGGTTGGAAAAGACCTTTAAGATCATCAAGTCCAACCATTAACTTAGCAGCGCCAAGTCCACCACTAAACCACGTCCCTAAGCACCACATCTACAGGTCTTTAAATACCTTTTATCTCAACTGAACTGCAGGGATGCTGGCACTTGACTGGGCAAGGGAAACTGTGTACCCACAATACATGAATAATTTTGGATACAGTAAAAATTCACTGTTCTGACCATAAGAACAGCACAAGCTATTTGGTGATGCAGCAAGTAAGCATGGTGTTTGAGAGGGCAGGCAGGCTTTTCATTCCCACCATGAACTCAGATCTCCTTTCTAAATGAAGTCATTGGCTTCACTATCTAAATTCAGTGTGGGAATGCAAATGAGGAATTAGAAGATGCATAAGTAGTTTAATATGCATGTGCACACATCCACCCACCCCTTAAATTTATGATTCACCAGAAAGTGCCTCGTGCAACTGACTGCTGCATATGGGCGTGCTGTGTAGGTGCACTTTGGAAAGACATGAACAAGATGTCTTGTAAAGACACATGTTTTCTTCTCCTAAAAGGCTGTCAGAACCTCGCATCCCACCAACCCTTCCCTTCCCCCAACACATGCCTCCGCTTTCTTAATTGCCAAACACATATCTCACGGAATGTCTATGTGACATGCTGTTTAAGAACAGAAGTGCATCCTATTCCCCTCAATTTACAGATAATTAAAGAAGGATCCTCAATAGATTAAGAAAGCATCTACATCCAACAATATTTGAAAGTTGTTAGTGTGACTACAATTTGACCTCTTCTGCTGCTGTGAGTTATCAGAAAGAGAAAACTGAGGTTCTTCGATATGCAAGAAAATGGCTCTACAGGAATTATTTCCTCTTTTGTTGGGTAAACTGCATACTAAATAATGGGAAATTTCAACATTAAACACCAATCATTTGCATGCATTACATACTATTGTAGTAGTTTTTGTATGGTGCACATAAATAATACAAACCATCCTGAAAAAAAAATATGGGCAAGACTCTGGAGCACAAATAACCCCAAACTAAAGCTTCCACACTCACCCTTTATGTCCATGTTTGAACCTGTTCCAGTATGTCAAATTATGGTACTGATCCTAAATAATCAATATTTGCTGCAATCTAGTATTGTATTCTTTATGTGACATTATTTTAAAAGAAAAATCCAATGTCACAGCACAGGACTGTGGAAAAGTCAGATTTTTTTTTCCTCACTCCTACTAAAAACAGTGGAAGTGCCTCCCTCCTCCTCCTCCAGAAAAATCCATAAACAGCATAGAGCCTAAATTCTGAAAAACACCTTTCCTTCTTGCTTAATAACTGTCAAGTCCTCAGGTTGATTCCTCAAGCCCTAAAGGACCTGCTTACATGTAAGTACATGCTTATTCTCCTCATTTCAGTGCATCATCAGGCCCTGTGCATCTAATCCATTCAACCATCCTTCCTCCCAGGAGGTGCACCAGCCAGCACACAAAACAAATGAAATCAGTGACCCCTGCGTGACCAGAGTGAGGGAACAAGTCAATCTATTCCTCTGACCTCCAGAATACAACTGCAGGCCAGAAGGCAGACAGACAGACCTGTGCCACCAGTGAAAGCAGCATAAGCAGAGTCCTCATCCCTATCTGAGGGCTGAATAGCTGAACCTCCGAACTGCAACATCCCAAATTCATTTGATCCCCTGCATGCTAAGGACCAAGTCACACTCTAGATTAAAAGTGCATTCATAAACAATTAAAAAGGATCCACCTATGTCAAACATATGCTACAAACGTTAAGTTAAAATAGTATTAATGATTATCAACCACTATGGAACAGGTAATACAGGTTTATGGCTATTCACAGATAGTTTTAAAGGAGCTTAATACATGATTAACACTTTATATACTACTGATAGTTGGGAGTGAAAGCCAAAATAACAGAGAAGTAGGGCTACCAGCAGATTGCCAGACCGTCCCCCGAAGATGGGACAAACCTAAGACACACCCCTGTCCTGAACAAGCTTTTCTCACTGCCTGTTTAAAATGGTTCTCCAGGGCGTATCCTGGCATTTGCTAATCTCCCTCATAGACACCTAATTCTCCCTGTTAACTACACAGGGTCTGGACACTAATTCAGTAGTCCTTTGCAGGAACACTTCAAGGATCTGAATTTTTAATGTAAAGGGAAATCTTCATAAAGCCACACAATAATTTCACTTGGAAGGGACCCCTGCAGGTTATCTGGTTTAACCCCTACCCTACTCCCACTCAAAGCAGGGCCAACTTCAAATTTGGATGCAGCTGCCCAGTTAGATCATCTAATGAGAAAATTGGAAGATTTTGCTAAATGCAGCTTGATTCTTGTATGGGAAATGTAGTTGGGAGCCATTCTGCCCTAATAAGCCAAATATCCACAATGTAAGTCCCAAATAAATGCAATGTACTTTGAAAGCACTGTATTTGGTAAGAGCTAAGGCCGTATTTCAATTGTTCTAAAGAAAACACTACTGAGTAACGTCTAGGTCTTTCTTCTGAAAATGTTGAGATGAACTGATTAGGGGATTGGAACATCTCTCATATGAGGAAAGGCTGAGGGCCTTGGGTCTCTTTAGTCTAGAGAAAAGAAGATTGAGGGGGGATCTTATTAATACATACAAATACTTAAAGGGAGGGTGCCAGGGGGATGGGAGCAGTCTTTTTTCAGTGGTGCCCAGTGATAGGACGAGGGGTAATGGGCACAAGCTTGAACATAGGAAGGTCCATCTTAACATGAGGAGGAACTTCTTACTTTGAGGTTAGTGGAGCACTGGAACAGGCTGCCCAGAGAGGTTGTGGAGTCTCCCACTCTGGAGACATTCAAAACCCGCCTGGACGCTGTCCTGTGTAACGTGCTGTAGGTGACCCTGCTCTGGTGGGGGGGTTGGACTAGATGATCTCCAGAGGTCCCTTCCAACCCTAACCATTCTGTGATTCTGTGAACTGTGCTCTTACAGTTCTTAGGTCTGACATGGAGTGCTATATCAGTAAGACTTACTACACCAGGCTTTGCTCATGTTTGCAGTCCAAATAAAGAATATGCGCCAGAGTGCCTCAAAAGTTAGCACAGACCTATTTCATCTCAAACTAATGGAAACATAAAAGGCATTCACTTTAACACAGATAAACACACAGCTCACGTACAACACTTGTTTTGCAGAGTGCTGTTTTACAGAGTATGTATCATAAGCTGACTCGTTCGGGTATGGGGACTGAAATGTGCCGGTACACCACGAGGGTGGTGGAGTTGGAGGGTGTTGGCACTGCAGTGGAACAAGCTCCTCAGCACATACCTTCAAAGGTATGAGTATTAGCACTGCAAGCTTGTAGGGACTAGCACCAAAAAAAAAAAAAAAAAACCAAACCAGGCAGCTTTCAGAAATAGCTGTGACGTGGCATACTTGTTCTTTTAACGTGTCATGATAGGATTGATTTGGTCAGGGGTGGAGGTTTTACTGTCTTAACTACCCCAAAGGACAGAAAAAAAAAAGCAAGGGAAACAGTTCAGCCAGAACTATGATGGTAAGACAAGAGGCAGAGAGGAGATTCAGGAAGAACTGCTTTGATCAAATACACCTGACTTTAAATAAAGCCTCAGTGAAGGCTGCAACATTTCAAAGTCGAAAGGCTACTCTGCATGAGTAGGACCATTTAGGGACTGTCCCCAGCACTGCAGGTGTTCGATCACCCCTGAAGTCTTGCAGTGCTCTCTCCAAGTAACCCTGCTTATTTTTCCCCCTCCTCTCTGCCCCCTCTCATTCCTGCCATTCAATGGTTTGGTTCCCTCAGGCGGTCAAAACAAGATAGACTTTGTCTGCTTTGGTCTCCCTGACTCCTTTGACTGGAATCCGCTGCAGATGGCTGCATGTGTAAACTGCACGTGGGAGGGGAGACGCGCTTGATGTCTAGACACTCCCACAGATTTCAACTTCAGGCTCCTTGGCAGCAGGTACGTGTTCTTCCTCTGCTAAAATTTCCCAAGCATGCGGATAGGGTAGTTGTGCCTGAAATGGGCTTGTAAATACTTTAGATGGGATGAACGGTAAACAGGTCTCTCAGGATAGCACACCAGAGCTCGATTCTCCCTCACTTCTCTCTGACACCAACAAGACTCAAAGACTGGGGGTGTAGGAGGCCTGTGCGCTCCTTTGTAGTCACCATAATGATGGCATCTTCACTCTCAGCCTGCACTACACATCAGATTAGCTAACATAACTGTTATGTGGGCTGCTACTGTTACTGGATCAAACAGTGGATCAGTCTTTGAAAAACTAAAGGAAACAAACACTGCCATTCCTGAGGAGGTGCAGACCTTGACTTCCCAGCAGCAGAACGTGGAACGCCATTAAATACACACGCAAGAGGCAGCTCTTCTTTGTGACTACTGAGGACCATTCCTTCTGCATGGTCTCCATCCTGCTTTCCAGACCCCGTAGCACAGTCCTAGCAGGGATGAGCCATTGCTAAAAACTGTGGTACAAGCTTTGCAACCACTGCCAATATATCCCACCCCAATCCCTGTGCAAGGTACCAGAGCTTTCCACGTTCTACAAGCTTCCCTGAAACATCTGGAGATCTTCTCACACTCACCAATGTCGAGGACCCTCTGTTTAGCTGTGTGCTGCCGAGAGTGCCAGTATTTCCAGTATTTCAGTTGTTCGTCTCTGTTTTTATCCTCACTGAAAACAACCATGACCACGCTCTAAGAAAATCAACAGCACAAGTTGCGTTAGTTAATATAATTAATAGTCAGAAACACAAAACTGAAAATTTCCCATATGCCTCTAACGCTGATCTAGTCACTGTCCTTCCCCAGTACTTTGGTTGTAGAAGATTGCTGGGTTTTATTCCAGTCTAATACTCCAATGCACTTAAAGACTCAGGGCAGAATAAGTGTAGTTTTAAAATTACATTCTTGATAGTCCAAATAAAATTTAATCATATTCTTAGATCTAAGAAGTCTAAGTTCCCTTAAGTAAAAAGTGGTCATTTCAAAGTCAGAGGATCCCAAATTCCAATTCTGATCCAAGTCCAGTCCAAGTGCTAGAGTTCAGATTCCTTGTTACTCTGGAAGATGACCTTGCACTGTAAAGGGATACGTTGTTACTGAGCTCAGGCTCCCTGGATAAAGGCAGGGCATTTTTAGTTTTACTATACATAGTCCAAATACCCTTCTCAGTAGCAGCACTTTTGCATACATGTATTTAATCACAAATTCAGTACGACTATTTACTGGGTTTTCCTGAGCTTTTCAGTTCAAGTTCTGAACTCCCTTTGTTAAACTGTGTGATTCAAAGGAAACAGATTGAAACTTTATGCAAAACTTCACATGAGTAATAAAGGCTTTTAAAAAAGCCCTGCTGTAGGCAAGTAAAACAAAAAACACAAAACAATGAAAGAATGCTCATACTAGGTAAACTGAAGTGAAAAGAAATCACAGAGAACAAAAAATTCACTTTTAAATAACCTCTTTTGTTCCTGTTCTTCCTTTAACCCTGAGTCACCAAGCTCATAAAAAACACCATCAAGCTGGTGTAAGCCGAGGAGCTGGATCACGATTGATTCACAATCTACACCCCTCCACACAGTCACTACCGTAACCCCTCACGTGCTCTGTGACCTTCTCCATTCCACCTATAAAAGCCGAACATCATCACTGCGTCTTCCGTGTCTAGCTACTGCGTGGGCACGAGGCAGTATAAGCAGTGGATGAGTCCCGAGTTACGCATATGCACACTGGCTGTCCGTCAGGTACGTGTTGGTGACCAGCTGATGCACTAACCAGAACTGGCAGTGCAGACTGTAGCTCTTCCCCCAAGGACAGCATTAATTTTTTTCCTCTATGAACCACTGACATGGAACTTGTAGAGGTTTAATACCTTCAAAACCTCTTGCCCCTCTGTCAGGTTTGGATGGAACTGGCAATAAATTCAACAGTCACTTGGCTGGGGGCCTGGCAAACAGAACATGATCATGAAAGTTGCGTGTGGTTTCACAATCTTCCGTAAACTGCACATCCTCCAAAAGAAATGGTCTCACCTCTCCTTTACCATTTCCACCCTTCTGTTGCCACAGCTTCAAAACTCACGGCTGTGCAGTGAATGAGATTTATAAGGACTGGTTTTCAGCCAGACCAGTGAGCTCCTGACTCTTGTTTCAGCTGTACAAGTGCTAGAGCTGGCACCACAAAGGGGGACGGAACGGGTGGCTGGCAGGGAGGGACACTTCAGCAGCAGAGAAGCCTTACATCAGCTTCAGCCAACAACAAAACACCATCATCAGCCTCATGTCCTTAGGAAACCAGGCTAAAAATTAACTGCTGTTCAGGTTTACAAATCGTTGCCTCTCTTTAGGAAGAGTGTCTCTAAAATTCATTTATGATAGAAACATATAGGTTGTTGTCTGCTTCACTGCTCACGTTGACTTTCATTGGTTCCTTCGACTAAAGTCAGAACATTTTTACAGTACTTCATTTATTTGGATGGAAGCACGTCTGCAGCCTCATGCATATGCAGCCCTTCCAGCTTCAGGGTGAAATTTGCAGGGCAGCAACTTTGAGGCTCATTGTTCATTCCAAGGTTACTGGGTTAGGCTTTGCTTACTGAAAAACATTACCAGGGAAATCAGGAGGCCCTTTCACCAGGTAGATGTTGCTGAATACCCAAGCTACAGTTCTACCCATGGAATCTAAGATGAAAATCATCCATTTTGTCATACTTCTGCGTGAATATCAAGTGAAAGCTCACATTTACACAATGTAAATGATTTAAAATGTAAGTCACAAAGGGTGGCTTCAAATCTCCACATTTGATCTGAAATGCACTGGAAAGCAGCTGCTGAAGTGCACAAGTGAATGAAGATGGACTTAAACAGTAGATGTAGCAGTTCTCTGATTTTTTTCTTTAATCATGGCAATGATGGGTTCACCAATGTCAAGTGCAGTATCTGTGCAATTCCCGTTCTGCCAAACCACAAACTGAAGCACATATGTATATAATTAACACACAAGATCACAGTTTTGAAAAAACTAGACCCCAAAATACTTGAGACCACCATCAATATTACCCTCCCACCCTTACATTTGGCATAAGAGTAAGCTCGCTCTGTCCTCTCACACAAGAAAAAAATAATTAAAAACCAACCAACCACAACTACATTAAAGAAATTGGACTATACCCTGACTTTGCTGATGGGATGCCGGAAACATTTGTTGTCTCCCGTCTCACTCAAGGTGATGGCGTAGAACTGTCCTTTGTTCAAGTAGGTCATGGGCCCCTCCCCTTGCTTTTGACGCAGAGATTTGGTAGCTTCTAGCGTATACTGAAAAGTGCTGCTGAAAAGACAGGGAGAGAAACACCAACAAAATTCATATCACTTTCTCCTTTTCTCTTTGTCCCCATTTATTATGTATTTCATGCATTGTATAAGCAAGGCATAAAAAGCTAATAATAAAATTCCAGGAAAAGGTCACACAGATATTTAAGAATGCAATTTTCTTTTTTCAAGTTCATCAGATCTGGAAATCAAGCGTAAAACTATCTGGACTGTAAGTCGCTTGGAGCACAGGCTACACCTTTACTTTCTCTGCAAAGAACCATCATGAAGTACAACACTACATACCCCACAATCAGAGTGCTAAATACCAGGAGGAAATTCAGTATGATTTATAGGACACCAGCTACCTCCACAGACATTTAAACTTAGAAGTGTCACAGAAAGATAAATTAAAAAAAAAAAAAAAAACACAGAATAAAACTTATTGCAAAAGATGGACATGGAGAATGGAAAGTCCACCTGCTACTTTCAGCACAGAGCAGAGAACAAATACAATCAGAAAGGACAGTAGGTTCATTTGTTTAAAGTCAATGTGCAATCAAGGTTTTTACAAGCCTTCTTTTCAAAATTAATCAGATAGAACAAAGTACCTACATTTAGTTGTATCTGCAATCAAGTAAGCTCCCTTTAGAAAAAGAAAAAATTAGAGAAAAGCAGAGTTTGCTCTTGTGTTGGAAGTCAGATTTTAGAAAAGGTCCTCCTTCACAGGAGAACCTTCCACCTTTAAAGCAGTTCTCAAACCATGAAAAGTTAAAAAGCTCCATTAACTAGTGAACTGTTAGCTGAACAAATTCTCACAGAGCCTCTTCCAGCTGCCTCCTCCAATAACGGGCTTGAACAATAATCCAATAAAAACGATGCCTGCAGCTCCTCACATTCTGTTAAATGAAAAATAATGTTAACCTTGCAGAAAAAATCTTGTCTTCAAACTACATTTGGTCACCACAGGAAGCTTAATGCAAGGAGTCACTTGCGGGATGTTCTCACAAAAGTAGGAGGTACAGAGGAAGCATTTTCACAAAGGTCCTAATTCAGCAAAGTATTTCAGCAGTGCTGGAGTAGAACTAAAAGGACGAATATGTTGGTCCAAAACAACAGTACATCCTTAATTTTCTAGTTCAAGCAAATACTCTGGATCTTCTTAACACTGCCACAGCAATATGGAAATAAGGGCAAGACAAAAACATTTTTAACTAATGGAAAAAAAAAAATCACTAAAATGCATGCATAATAATAACATTTAAATTCCCACTTGTAGAGAAGGTAGAAGGAAAAAAAATAACCCGATCCACTGTCTTTTCATCCAAAGGAAGACGTTTCAGACAGCTTAGTATCAATTATTTAGTTTACTAGCAAAATAATTTCTGTTTCTGATTACTCTAGCTTATAAATGGAAATCCAGCCATTTTGCCAGTTGCTTCAAAGTTACAAATCAAAGCAAAACCAAGGTAAAAAGCAAACACTAACCTATACCTATCCAACCCACTGGCAGCAGTACCAGCGATTCCCAACAGTGTAGCTGCTGCCGATGTGCAGGCTCTCACGCACAGCGGAAAGGCAGCACGAAGCGGGCTGTGGTCCCCTCCGCTGCCACCGTCCCTCTGTCCTGTGTGCAAGGGGAACAGAGGCTCTGTCGACACTGGCAAGCAGTACGGCCCTGTCCAAGCCGACTGAAAGTGCAGAACCACTGGTGCTGCGGACCCAGCATTCATCCCCGCTGCACATATTTGTCCTATGGATTGATCAGTGGTGGGGGCACATGCTCTGATTTAGTGTCACACAAAGGGACTGCAGGTCGTGTGCTGCAAGACTGCTGCATGACGCATACCAAAGCATCTCTGGGAGATGCACCTCAAAACCTCCCACCAGACCAAAGGCCTAACGAGGACATGTGCTGAGAAGGGCTCAGGACGAACTAGTCAGACACATCGTGTCTTAACAGAGCTGCCTACAGTCTGCCACGGTCTGGTCTCCTGTTTCCTGGCATTCTGTATATTTCAGAAAGACATCAAAAAGTGTAAATCCGAGACACGCTGCACCTGGCCGATCTTGCAGTAGCTCTGGGAACTTTCTTCTTGTTCCCACCTTCAGTCAAAGCATGCCCTATAGCAGTAGAATTACTATTACCCTTAAAATTTACGGTAGTCGCTCAAATTATTATAATACTATTCTGAATCTCACCACAAGTATTAACTCAAGCCCTGTGTAGTCATTAAGGGATCTTCTATCAGGCCTCAAATTACTGCTTTTTTTCAATCTGAAGCTTTGGTTTCTGAGCACCTATCACTTCCAGGTAACTCCCAGGAAAGATGTATTTCGTTTTTCTTAGTGTGCATTTGGAGGTTACATTCTAACGTGGACCTGGGCCATGGCATGAAAGACTTTATGTCTGAAAATTGTTAATGATGCCAGCGCTTCAGGATTCAATTCTATAAATATCCAGTGTAGTAAGTGAGCAGTCTTTGCTAAATACCTGTTTCATATGTACTGCCTATATAATGACTCAGTTCTGAGCTCACTGCAGTTAATGATTGTTTTAATATTCCTCAGAAAAAAGATCAAGCTGTAAGGAACCTCCACTACAGCAGCAGTCATATGCCTACTCCAGGAAAAATATGTAGGTATGTTCCTGTTTCTAAATTAAGAGTAATCTGTCGGATATAAACAGAACTATTCACAAGCACGAAATGAAGCATCAGCTTGCAAACCTTACTGATTACAGTCTTTATTAGTTAAAGTGACTCTCCAGTGTTTGCCCATTCTACGCATGCATTTTTCTGTGCTTAAGGAGGACACTATTCCTCAATCTTCAATTTTTGAAACCTTTTTAAAAACTTTCTGGAATTCTTAGGTTTCTTTACATGGTTTGTGATAGATACTTCATTTATACTATATTATAGGTAAAAATTAAGTATCACAACAAGCAGCGTAAAAGACAGAGGGTTTCCCAGAAAATCTACTAGGAGTAACTAGAAAAAAAAACAGAAAGGAAAAATAAAGATGGGAATTCCGTAAGGTTGGAGGAGCAGTTCAACCATCCTGGACATCTCACTTGTGCATTCCACCATCCTGAAAGGTGGGGAAGATGTTCCATGACCTGGCTGTCAAAGCTGTGCCCTGTTACCTGGGGGACCTCTCTTCACAGTTTTAATCCTGCCTATGTCCGGGGGGTTTAGAGGAGTTACTAACTTAAAACAATGCTGAGGGAAGACAACAATTGAAGATAGAGACTGGCCAGATGCAAAAGCTAACATGCGCAGGAGAAGGGGAAAGTGATGCTGGGCAACGTCCAGGGAGCCCTGCAGGTGCCCCAGCGGGGTGAAAGGGAGGGTGGGAAGTGGACACAGGCAGCCTCTGCTCCATACATTCCTATGTGATGCCAGTCAACATATTTCAAAGCTTATGCCGTACCTTGTTTGTTCATAAATATATTCCTCAGCCCCCACTGACACACTGCGATACTTCTGAAAAACAAAAAAAAATTTGGTTTGATACAATCAAAATGTAAATCCAACAAAAGTAGAATTACACTTATTTAAGGACCCCTCAGAAGAAACCATCAACCATTTAAAACTCAAGATCCCTAAAAACTGGAGCCTACATGGTCTTTACATTAGAATTGACAGAGATAATTCATTTACGTCAAGCTTTTAGAGTTTCTCATAACCTAACTGCTACAGGAATGTAGCTGAAAAACATCTTCTGCTTTATTAAACTCCTTGCTTACACATTAATATATTCTATAATAAGCCTGTAAAAATGTACCCCATCTCAAAGACGAGTAGATTTTCAAATGAAATCATAGTTTTCCTAGAGACTTCATTTTTTATTTTGTTTGGCTTTATTTAAAAGTGTGTGTGTGGCCAGCTGTCCTTAAGGCCTAAAATGAAATTCTGGCAAAAATTTGGATTGCTATACTGTCTATTTTGAATAGGAGTGGTGACACAGGCTAAGAAAGTATTTTACCTTCGATGAAAGATTCTGTTTGAGAGAAATGCACTCTTTACCAGATTAAAGGAGACCTACAGTCACTGTTTATAAAATAAAAACATATCTATCAAAACAAATTACATCAAGAGGTGGAATTCTGAAAAAATGAATATTTTTTTTTTACACAGACTAAGCAAGGATTTGTGCCCTGTCTTACTGACCAAACAAGCCCATTCATACTCTACTATGTAAGCCTTGTTGCTTCTTCTTGGCTTGCCTTTTGCCTCAAACATGTTTTTGCTGATGTCTCTCTGATTCACCGATAGATCATTACATTTAATCTCTGGGATTTCTTTTGTGACCACCAGTTAGCAATTAAAAAAAAGCTGTTTTGTTTCCAGAAGTGTCAAGTCAGACAATTTTGAAAACCTTATGCACAACTGTTCCACAACAAACATCCAGTCAGATACTAGTTAAGTGCAAAGGTATTATGTACCAGTTAGGAATATTTCCTGAAGATCAAAAGTCAAGGATCCATAAGCAGTAGAACAGATAAACTAAATACTCTAAGAAATTTAACATCTGAGGGGTATTACAATAAAGATGGTCCCATAATAACGTGCTAGCCACATTTTATATGAAGGCTAGAGGTTGACATTGTAAAAACCATACAATTTACTTGCCTATTCTTGAAAATTTTGTCTATACTATAAAGGACTAATAAATTAATCACAGCTAAATAAGAATCTGAAAGAGATGAGAAAGGTATATTTATATAATCATTAAAATCTAAAGAACATAGCAAGTGACTGACTGAAGTGTCCGCTACCACAGGGATCTACAAAAACTCAGCACTCCTTCAGTATAACAAAACTAAGTCATTCAATAAATGTTTTGAAACAATTTATAAATATGTATTCATAATGTGTTTAAAAATTGAGCAGGTATCAGAGCAAATCTTTTGTAGCCAAACCCAGCCATTGTCACCAAGTGAATAAGAAAACTAGCAAGAACAACTGTATTCCTACTTTAAACAATAATTTAGCACAAGTTTCTCTTTTGTGCATTTTTGTGCATAAATGTTTGGGCATTTTACCTTGTTCTCTCCCCACACCAGCTTCATACAGCTGTCCCTACACAACAGCGCATGGCTGGAGAAGCAGTCAGAGCGCTGCAGGGGCAAAGCCCATCCTGGGATTTGGATAGTTGAGAAAAAAATGAAGAGACAGGCTAAGTGCTGAGCAAGGTTGCAGCAGGGTGGGAAAGCTCTCCCTGCTCCTGTGCCACAGGCATGTAAGTGTGTGGGGCTGGAAGGCCACGAACAGTGGCACATACCTCACCCAACAGCTACAGACAGGGACCTAGTTAAAGTTAGTTGTTCGGTCTCCCAGTACAGTTATACTAGGGGAGGTGAAGATGGAGAGGAGTGAGTGCACCTTGCAAACCATTCCACCCACTTTTGGCAACCAGATTTGAACTGCCTCTTTCTCCACAGCCTGCATAGAAAGTCTAGACGACAAGTATCATACCCTGTTATTAACCAAATATTTTAAAAAAATGTGTAAAAAGTTATTACCACTGTAATAAAATTGCCATATCATGGAGTTTGGCATGTAAGGCCAATGTATAGATGTAAATTCTCTTTTTACCTCCAAGTTAAACTTTGCACGTTCAACAGCCCTTTGCATAGCACAGACTGGCGGTTGGGGCAGCTCCCAGTGCATCTCAGAACAACCCACGGGATGGTAATGGAATCACTCAGCTACAGCACCCCCGGGAAAGCCGTGGGTACGGTACCACTGGACTCACATAAAGAGCCCTTTACCAGTGACAATGAAAAATAGCTGAAATGATGTGATTTGATAATGCAGAGCAGTGTTTCTAATCCCAGGTTTGATCTTACTGATTTTTCAATGGCAAGCTAGATTTCTTCATTAATTATTCATTTAGTTGACCTAAATGTGTTCTATATCTGAAAATGGATTTCACCTCCAGACGTCCTGTGATCTATGATGCTTGTGTGGAGACAATTTACTTCTCTATAATACACATACACAAACTCACAGTAAATTTCTCACATATTCAATCAGAGCAACTCAGCCTTAATGTAGCTCACCTTGTACTTTTGTTACATGTACAATTTCATAGAGTTGGAGAAGAAAAATAGGAGGAGAGTTTTACCATCTAATCTCTAAGTATTTGCAGAGGTGCAGAGTTTTTTTTAACTTTCTACATTTCTGGCTTGTTGCATTGTTCTGCAGCAGGCAAAAGCAGACAGAGGGTACTTACGATGTTAAAGCTGACTGTATAATTACTTTTCCTCAGCATAACAGCAACACAGTTACAAGGTAGCTCCTTGTCTCTCTTCTCCTCATCATTCCCTACATATACACGCACCAGTCTTTCCCTGTCTGTCAACTTCTCCGTTCCCCTCTAGTCACCCAATTCTACTTTTTCTCACTTGCCTATGTTGCAGAGTAGCACTTAGTGCAACAGACAGCTTCTGAATAAATTACTTCTGTGTATCTAGCAGCAGAGGCTGACACTGCTCGTTTGCACTTCCAGAAGAACATCAAGAATCTCACAGTTACAAAGTGGCTGCTATTTCTCACTGTTATGAATAGGTCTGAAGGCAGATCTTGTTAATGGAAAACAAATCTTCTTTCAGAACAGCATCTATCCTCTACTTGACACACTATCCCAGAAGACAAAAGATCAGTATCTATTATTCTCAGAGTTTCCAATAAACAGCTTTAAAAGTGTCTTCTGAAACGCCTCATGATGCTCCCTTATAATCAGAGCACAGACTGACAGGAACGCTTCAAAGAGCAGAGATGAATTTGTTGAAACAAGCATCACTGTTCCTCTAATGGCTCTTGTAGACAGCTCAACTCTCCTTATCTTGCTTACAAGTTCAAATCTCCTTATCTTGTTTACAGCTTTTTATTGAGTTCTTAGATGCTAATTTGAGGTGAAAAACTTACTTCTGTTCCTCCGTCCTTGAAGGTGTCGCTGTAGGTACTGTCAGGAGTACTGCGCTGGTCATCTTTGAGATAATTGGTGTGGGGAGCAATGTTGGACACCTCGTATGGTTCAAAGATAACCCCTCGGTGCTCCTCATTTTCTCCTCTTGCATAGTGTGCTTGTGGGGTCATAAAAACAGGGGTGAACTCCTCTGCTTTAACCACAGTCACTCCAGTCCCCGTGATGGGCGTCGAGCTCCCAGACACGTTCGTGTTGTATTCCCTTTTGGACGACTCCAAAGGATCTTGGTTCAAGGAAAGGTTAACCGGCACCGTCTTCAGGACTTGCACACGGTTCTCTCCCCCACTTAAATTACTCTGAGCTTCTGTGGTATTAAGACAATTTCTGTGAGACAAAACCAAAAGATGTTATGAACTGTCCTGACAGAGTAAATCTCCTCCTTAAATAGCTTAATGTTCTTACATGCCAGGGAAGGAGATCTTTCAACTCTGATAAGCCATTGCCGTATGAAATAGTACATTAACAAATACTAGGCAAAAGACATTGTGAGGCAAGCAGAGAGGTCCAGAGCTCTTTAACAGCTAGGGAAAGATAATAACATTTGATTTGATTGGTCTGACTTGCTACAATAAATCCTGGGTATCCGGGGTTGCTTTTGCCTCGTCTGATAATCTGGATGCAAAAATCAATCCACCAGTGCAATAGCCTTTAGGCACAAAATTAGCATAAAGAGTTAAGGTGAGGTATGGATTACTCACAGCATATAATTTGCATATGAAATAGGCAAAATATGAACAGCAAAATTCATATGCTGATGCATGCTCTTTCAGGCTGTTGACAGGCCACCACTGCTTGTGTAACCCTGGTACTAATGCTCTTCGGAAAGAGCAAGCCCAGGGACCCCATCGTATCAGAGTAACTACACTCAGTAACTACAGCAGCGGCAAGGTAACCTCCAGCAGCGTTCCCACATCCACCCGCGGCTGCTGTTGAAAGCAATCTGATTGCTGATAGTCGTTGCACCGACATAAAATTGTTAACTCATAAAACTTTTAGTAGGTGTAACACACTGCTTTGTTTTCAACCCAGGAGATATGTTCTGACATTACAGTCCCTCTCTCTTGGCTTTCCACCAAAGGCCAGTTTTGTCAATCACGCTCAACTAAGGAACTTATCTGGCATTCACAGAAGAAAAACTGTCCCTCAAATAAAGTTTCATGTTCTGTTTTGAAACAGCAAATTTATACTACTACCTATTTAAACTTTCACCTTACACAGCTAGTGGAGACCGTCTACAGCTGTCCCGAATTACCTACGTTGAAATAAACCTTATGTAGCTTCTCTCCACTAGAATTCTGCATGAAGATACCTTCCTTTATGTAAAAACTTAGCTCTTTCTACATAAACTGTCTCTTGTCCATAAGTCTTAATAAAGGCAGCAGGCAGCTTCCTCTGACTCTTCAATTCACTTTCAGCCTACAGAGGAAGGCTGAAATCTGAGAGGAGTGAGAAAAACATTTTGAGCGAATTATTTTAGGAGAGTTACTTTATTTGCTTCTGGACAGACCCTAAGTTACGTTAAATAAAACTGTATAAATCAGGTTACTGAGGTCAAACTACTCACTTTTTGCTCTAGAAGAAGGAAATTGAAAGAAAAGCAGCCAATAGCCAACTGTCAATATAATCTGATTTTACTAATCGCAGCAGCAGCAAAACAACAAAATGAAACAAAAAAATAATGCAACTTTCCGCTACCTTGCATATTGCATGTTTAATAATACTGTTCAATTTTTCTAACAAATTAAAAGTAAAAAGGAGTAAAGTTTGCTTCTCAAAACGGTCTTCATTCTTTTATCTTTTGGAAGAAAACCATAAACCCTCAGGCTATCATAGTTCCTTCAGTTCACAACTGATCAACACTGTTAGAAGCTGGGTGTATGATTTTGAATAATACTGTACCTTTTATCTTGGTCTTCTTGATTATCACTCACTTTGTTAACAGACAACAGCCTTTTATCTCTGGGAACCTGAGAACAACACCAGGCATGGGGTCAGGTAAATGCAACTGTCAGGTATTTGCAGCTTCAGACTGCTCTACTGCAACAACTAGAAATATGTTACCGTATCAGTGTTGTCTAGTTCACAGATGCCAGGAGCTGTTTTTCTTTGGGAGACTGACTGTGAACAGAAAGATCATTTCCAAAGGGAAAAAAATGTAGGGATTGTTTCCTTTTCTAGTTCTTGGGTACAGTAGTCTGGAGCAAAGCACTCTTCTATATGTCCTTATCTTTGGAATATCGAGCTAGGTCAAGCTATGTCCAAATCAAAGCATGTATTCCCAAATACAAACACAATTTTCACTGAATAATAGATGAGGAAGAGGACATGCTGCTTTGATGAGATCTGCATGGATACCCTTTTAGCTCAGAGGAAAAAGGGGTTTCAATTACACCACAAGCAGCAGCTAAGTCCTCCTGTTCTAGAGCAGTCTGAAGGGTGGAGGAGTCTACATAAGGGAAGTTTGTGGATCCTTCCCTTTCCTAGCATGGGGACAGGTCAGGGCATGCTGGCATGTCATCAGAGAACACTGACTTTTGCTTTGCTGAGTTCATCAACAGTCATAAGAAGTAAAAATCCAGTCAAATCTGGCCCCCCGACAGACTCAGAATTGACACGAAGTGACTTAAAATATTTGTATTCCCACATACCGGTTTCCTTACACCAGCATAAATATGAAATCACCAAGGGCAAAGTTGCTGCCATGACCATATTGTTCTTTTCTTGCTGAACCAGCAATTTGGGAACTAAAACTTCTAATCTATCTTTTACAAAAGAAGGTATATTCACTCCATCACAGCAGTTAACTCGGGATTAAAGAGCAAGAATAGAGGTAAGAATGGGCTAAAGCTGTGCCTTTTATATTTAAATACTTGAAAGAATTATCAGGAAAATATCTGAATTTAGAGGAAAAACAATACTACAGTTCACTACAGCAGCCAAGGTTAACATCAGTTATATCTGCAGGACAGCAGCAGAGTCAGAAAGTGCTAGCCAGAGCCTTTCCTTCTCTTAGGGAAATCCCCTCTCCCTATTAAGCATCCTGCTGGTTAAAAACCTCTTTTATATATATTTTAGAAGTGGGATCCAAGCCACAGTTTGCACGTGTTGATTCCCTTGTTAAGATCATATATTCATCCCTGAAGGAGGGTCTATGTTTAGGTAAGTATCACTACAACAAAAAGGAGAAGGGAAGAAAAAAAAAAAAAGTTCAGTTCAAATAATCCTTATTGACTGGAAAAAGTAGTTCAAAAAAATTAGCCAGCATGTCAGAACAAATGAGCCAGACGATAAATAAGGGCAATGCAAGAGAGTCTGGTGTACTGGAAGTCCTCCTCTACACTTCTACGTTACAGTACAGAGGTTTAAGTTAGGTTTTAAGTTCCTGTTTGAGAGCATCAACAAGAGTTATCCTTTCCTCCCAGTTTAAGACAGAAATAGTTATGAATAAACGCTGGAAATGTCTTTGAGGTTAACACACCTTATTCCATCTGAACCCCAAGTCTTTGGCAACTGCCTGGAATAAGGAACGGACATGTCTTTTAGAACATAGTTCTGAGAAGGAAAAGGGCTGTTTGCTGTTTTTATTTTAAAAATCCAGCAGATGAATGAACTGCTACATGCAAAGGTATTACTAAGACAGAAGCCAACGCTCCAGATGCTCACAACCCCCCTGAATTTTACGAATGCACATTAACTTCACAGAACCTTGCACTGTGGTAACTCTGCCAAGCAGAGAAAAGGACCTTTCTTCTTTCTCATTATGAAAAGCTTTCTCTACTGACCACACACAAAACCAAGGAACATCTCTTGAAATATAACCAGTAAAGAAATTAAAACGACATTTAACCATAAGGTTGGTATATGGCATCTTTCCTACGACCCCTTCTCCTGACCTGAACACTCATTTAATGATTGCAGCAGAGACTAAAAAGAGCAACCCATTCTCTAAAAGCATTTATACTAATAAACACTAAAATCAAAGTTTTTTAATTTTAAATTTCCATTCCTGCAAAAAAAAACCTGCTACTTCTTCATGAATTACAAGGGAAGTTGGCATTGTTCTACTGGCTTTCATAGAAGATCATCTGTCCAATGCAGGCTTCAGGACTACTGAGATAGTTTAAGTGAAAAAAAGAATTTCATACTTTAGCACTTGGTAGACAACACTGATTCCGTTTGCAGTGTACAAAGGGGCCAGCCTGGGTTTCACAGTGAAATTTCTGCATTACACAGAGATGCGCATTGTAGGAGTCTCCTCTGATTTCAGCAGAAATCTCAAACATAGCTGACTTAAACACTATGAAATATACAAAAAAGAAAGGTGGTATCAAAATGGTAGGCAAAGCCCTGGGCTTAGAACCTGACATAAACTGAAACAGTGTGTCAGCGCTTCCCCTGTAAATTGACTTAGATCTCTGTGTCCCGCCTCATTTCTGTCCTCCACCTTTTTATTTAGACTGCAAACTTCCAGTGCGAGGGCTAAGACCTCACTGTATGTTTGTATACAGCCTCCTGCAATCATTATACAAATAAAAATAACATGGGAAACTGTCAGATGAGAGATACTCCAGTTAAAGAGCAAACTAAACCATGTGTGGAATGAACCAGAAAAGCAGACAAACATACAGGTGGACAAGGACTCTCCGTTTGCACTTTTTAAAGAATGCTGCAAGTATCTGAGCTCAAATAAAAAGCAGGCTAATTCATCCAATGCTCTTGCAAGGGAAGAGGAAGAACGCTATGCTTACAAAGAAATCATGGTTGCAAATTTAATATGGGAATTCTGAGTTTGTTTTTTCTTTCCAGAATTAAACACATCAAAACAGCCCCAGACAGGCTTCCTAAAATGGAAAGGGTGCTTGATGCAAGTATCAGAGAGTAAACAAGGTGCAGTGACTTCTGCCTTTGAAAACTGGCTCTTTTGATGCCTCTTACAGCAGTCCCCTGCTAGTGCAGCAGGGAGGAATAACGATGGAGTTACCTACTTTATAATAGTCATACAATAGGCCAAGAGCAGCAGCACTGTCCTCATCACCATTTATGCTCATCATAGCCTTGGTAGCTGCTGTTAGGGGATTCTCCAAATACGACTTCCAGGCTTCATCTTCGCTGGTGTAGGCTCGTCTGGTGTTGAATGAAGTGTCATTTGGCACTAAGGCCACAAGTCGCTTGTTACTGCAGACAGGAAGAATAAAATGGTGATCCAGAAGGGATTACTTTAGTCACAAGGAATGCTAAAGAACATCACATAGCTCAATGAAAGTGATACGATTACATCAAGCAAGCATCTCTGTATTAAAATCGGTGACATAAATATTTATCAGTATTAGGTCTCTTCAGCGCTTAACCAAAAAAAATTAAATGCGTGCAGATCCTGTGATAACAATTCAAATATATTTTTATTAAAATACAGATAGAGCTATCAATATATTTTAAAACTATTTGGGGAAAAAAAAGGAAGTAACAATACAAAAACATTTTGCCCCGGTATTTTTGCTAGATGTACATCTGATTGGGGAAAAATTTAATTGAAATCAGTTATAATAAAACATGAATGAAAAAAAGAAAAAGTATCTAACACTAATCTAGTGTTCACCTAAACCAAGTACAGTTCAGTATCTAATAACTGGGTACGCCTTATAATTGAGCTATTCTCTGCTTTTTCAATACAGTTTGTCCTTAATTTCAGAGAAGTTTTCTGTAACAGGCCATGAGCAATGGGTCCGGTGGATAGAGCAGAAGTCAACATATTTGGTCTCAATTCACACTTTATCACTCACCACATCTAGTTACAGACCCATGGCAATACGCACAAGAACGTTAGTAAATGGGATTTGCAGCAGAGCAGTTTCCTCCAGCCTGAAAGTGGTACAAACTGACCAGTGCCTGTGTATGCTATGAGAGAAGCTGCTGCACCACAGCTACGGCTGAAATTTCCAGTATGATGGAAATACAAATGAAGATAATAGTACCTGCTTTTGTAAAACATTCAATTAACTTATGGATAAAGAGCTACACAGAAAAAAAAAAAAAAACCAAACAAGAAAAAGAAGTTGCATTCCTATTACACAAGATAGTAGGCAAACAGATTAGGCAGAGAAACAGTGGAGCAAGGGGTCCACTATTGCTGCTTAGTGCGTGTTGCAAGAGCACCGACAAGAATCACGGCTCAAGTTACAAGGATCACGATGAAACTTTTAACACATTACACCTACAAATTCAAAAGCTGCAAAGATGGCAGAATAACTGAATACACTGACTTAACTAGCAAAACTAGCCGTTATTGCCCGTGACCTTCATAAAACATTTCCTGCTCTCTTCTACATAAAAACTGCTCATTATTCAGCCTCCTCTTTTTGCTCTCCCCTACCTGCAGCGGTGCCAGCTCCACAAACCTAACCCAACCAACGTCTGCTGTCACACAGAGAGCGGCATTCAAACACTGTGCAACCAAGCCTTTTATTTGATTTCAGAAATCAGATTTGATAAAGCACAACTGAACCCATGCGGTAAATGTTCTCGGACGGCGGGAGCGTGCCTTGCCTGGCCCCCACGCTGCAGCGACGGCTGCCTGAGCGCAACCTGCAAAGTGCCTGCTCGGGTGTTTAAGGAAGAGGAGGGGAACGCTGGAGATTATCATCTCTATGGTACAGAGCACTGTTTACAAGTTTCTTTATTTAATGAAAAACAAAATAATCCATCGGGTACACAGTGCACAATTTTATGAGCTCTGCGGGGGAAGAGAACACTTCGTAGCATCATATCACAAAATACGGCCAACAATTACAGTTCAGATTATATTTTCCTTTCATCTAAAATATCTGGATTTTTAGAAGCTTCCTTTCTTTTCCGAGTGCCCTTCTGCCTGGCCTTTTGCTGCCTCTTCTGGAGATTTTTTTCCTTCTTGTTTCCACATATACATTTATGTTGTTACAGGTTTGCTTCAGCAAGTGAAGCTGAAGCACAAATTAGGAGCCCAAGAAACGACAGAGAGAACTGCGAGGCCCGCTTGCCTTTTCAATACCTTATTGTTAGCGACTCAAATCAGATTTGCAACAGCCCCGCTGTTTGTGCCAGAGGCAGCTGAGGGCCTGTTCCCACTCTGGAGTAGCCAATCCTCCCTGGCTGAGAGGCAATTATTCCAGGCAAGGATCCTCCTTTCCTCAACAAAGCTCCCCTTCAGCTAAACCCCGGCTGTTTCACCGCATGGGCGGCTGCCCATTGCAACGCACAAAACACTGCTCGCTCTCCTTCCTGTAGCAATCTCCCTTTACAATCAATAACTGCCTTTTGTTACTCAGAGCGCTCACAGCCATGCGATAGTCATAACTGATTTACGAGCGCTACAGGCAGCCTGTGAGATGCCCTTTAAAAACACACCTTTCAAGAGCTGGGCTCTGCTTGTCTGCAGAAATGCTGGAGGGGAGGAGTCAATCTCTGCTGCTCTAACTTAATCGAGACAACCTTAAAACAATGAAGAGAGCCCTGTCCCTCAGAGGTGTTGTATACAATTGTGTCAGGGAAAAGCTAAACTAAAGCGGATAAATGCTCTTGGAACAGCCACTCAGTACGTAAACAGCTGGGATGGCTGGAAAGGCACAGGTGCACAGACCTAGAGCCTCCCTCACATCTCCCCAGAGCACTTTTGCTCTAAAACCCAGGTTTTCATGGTTAAAAACTAAATATCTGTCTCCTCTGGCTTGAGATGGTCTGCAGCATAATCAACCGACACACTCATTGTGTTTACTCTGCAAACAGACTGAAACAATAGCACTAAGAAAAATAAAAAACTTCCTCATCACCCCCATCCCCGTAATCACCTCTGTGGGAGGTTAATGGTCAGACCTAATTATGATTTAACATAGTCAATCATTTCAAAGATTATATCCAAAGCAGTCAGCCAAAACAACAGCACTCGCTTTAAGAAATCTTTCCTGTTAATTAAAAGTTGTTCGGATGGGAGAGAGGGTATCTCTTAAGAAATGAGGCTTGGGTGGGCACACGCATTCCCTTTCCTTTTCCATGACGGCTGAACCTCCTGGATAATTTCAGCCAAATGTGACAGAGGGGTAGCAAAGTCCCCCATAACCAGAGAAGATAAATACTTTCTATTTAATATATGCCAAGGAAACAACCTCCTGAGCGAGACTCTGCACAGGTAAGCTCCCCTGGTCCCATCAGGCACCCCCATGCTGGGGCACCCTAGCTGTTCCAGCTGTGTAACTGATGGCAGGCAGCTTCTTGGAGAACAGTGACTCTGGTGGCACCTGGACCATGGGGAAGACAAAGGGCGACACCTACAAGAAATATAAGTGTTCCTACTGGAGAGAGCTGCTCTGAATGCCCCGCCTGTGAGAAAAGCCTCAGTTAGAGCCTTCGGTTAGCAACACTACTGCTATCAAAAGTTGCAAATCCATCGGACCACATTCACAGAGAGCCACTCACTTAAGGAAGGAAGATGGACCGAGATTGCAAGAGGAAGACTCCCATTCAACCTGGCCAGCAATATCAGCAAATATCCGCTGTAGCCCCAGGCACATCTTCTAAAATAGCCTGCCAACAAGCAGAGAACAAGCCCAACCCTGACTGTGCCCATTCCTCATTCGGGCTAGCCCACCGCTCCTCTACCTGGCAGTCAGGATGAGTGCTAACCAGAACACAGCTAGGAGGGACGTGCCTGTACAAGCTGAAAACACACCATTATTTTACCATGGAGATACAGCTTAACAATTGAGGATACGTTGTGCCTAAAAAGTACGCTTCCTTTCAAGCTATCAGTTGAGCTCCTAAAGAATGCAAAATGTATCAGTTGTTTTATGTTAAACAGCAGTAGGTGGTTATGTCTTAATTCATAGGTGCCTGAGGACGAAAGGTATTTTCTGAGGAATGGTCTAGCTTAGGAACTAGATTGTCCTGATACTTGAGTATTTATGTCAGGGCTAAACTTCAGATGGTCTTTATTTTGCAAAATTCCCGCCCCCACGAAAACTGTTTAGTAGAAATTTTCTTGTTTGTATCGTCTTACATGATTTCGGTACTTTCCTCATAAGAAAAAACATACATAAGTTTTCCAGATTTATAGCAGTTACGGTGCTGGTAAACGGATATTTTTTAGTTTATTTAAGATTCTGGAATTTTATAAAACCCTGTACTAGTGTGTAAATAGAGATGTCCAAAACTGTGCTCACTTCATTTCATTTATTACAGTACAACAACATAAGCTGGAGAGGTACATCGTACTTAATGTCAATAAACTAGCTGAACAGAGAGGGCTGGCCTTTCACACTCTTCTTCAGATTAGAGAGAATGAATTTTCAACAGCCAGCACTTGGAGCTGGCACAGGCAAATTCTCACCCAACTTCAGGCAATTTGTGAATCAGCTTACACAGAATCAGAAATGCCCATTAACACATTCATGAACAATGGTGAAAGGCCACAGCTTTGTGATCAGAGCTTGCTTTTTTTATTCAGAAACAAGATGTCCCGCCTGCCAGTCTCTCTCAGCCAGTTTTGATGTTCAAGAGTTTTCTGTTGAATTTGCAAACTTCATGTAGCCCTTAACTTCTCTGCCAAATTTGCCGCTGAACATAACGCTGACAAATACACCTGCATCCTACTCTCCTCCATCACATGCTCAGCATTACATCCTGATCCAGTTAGTTGGTGCTAATGGGGAAGAAAGTCCCATCCTGCCTGCCCCACAACTTTTGCCTTGCCCCAAAAATTCACCCCTGAAATCCAAAGCAGACTGGTAAAAGCGCCAAGGTGGGCACCCAGCCCAGGCATTTCCTGAGGGGTTTTTTATTGCTTTTTTGGACATTGCATTCGTTCTTTCAACAAGCTTTAAAAAAAAAAAAAAGTAAGAATTGAGCTGCTCCATGCATATCCCTGGAGACTTCTTTGCCTCTTGATAATGCATTAGGACTTCCCCCTCCCCACAAAGGGTAGGTGCCAGATGGGATCGTAGCACATTCTGTGTGTGAGGCAGCAGAATGGGAGGAATTCCCATTTCAGCCCAGGCCTGAGCCTGCCTGTTCTTAGGTCTGTGAGACAGGAGCACCAAGCACATCTGCACACATCCTCTGCAAAGTCTCCCTTCAGGAGAGGGGATACGAGGCTTTGCTCTATACAGCTATTATAAAGCACACCGAAATTTTAGCACCAGTCAAATAAC